GTGCTATAGACTGAAACAAATCAGAGCATTTTACCAGTGTTCAATAGAGCGTCCCATCCCCCCAGAGCCCCTCCATTCCATTCCTGCTCCTGTTCCGCCCCTACCTGGTCCCCCCTTTTTACCAGAGGGCCCATCCACAATCCACCGTGACAAAGGGAAAGAGCTGAGTGCAGGATATCAGGGTGCTACTGGCAGCCAGACTCTGGCCAGCACAGTGCTTACACAGGGGTGCTTTCTGCAGATTGCAGCAGTTTGAACTAAACCCCCCTCTGTCCACTCACTATGGACATGACCTAGAGGGGGAGTGGGAGGAGGGCATCACAAGTGTGAGGGATTGGGTGGGGTCGGGGTAGTCAAAATCAGTCCTATTTGTTTGTTACTTGGACGGTTTGCTTTTACACACCATTTTCATGTTGCTGTCCATGATCACAGCGCATGGTTTGCTCTCATAATGAGTGTGTTTCTGTGTTTGTGTGTATGTGTGTATGTGTGTGTGCAGTTGATAATCCCATCCTCAGCCAGGGCATGTGATGTATGTGACTCCATTACGAAGCCCACCACCCAGCTCTCATAGCTGTGGGCCTTAACTGCTGCAGCTGACCCCAGGGGAGAGGGGACGAGTTGGATGTATATAGAGAGAGTGATACACAGGAGGTATAGAGAGAACGAAACACAGGAGAAGAGAGTTAGGGAGGGAGGGAGTATACCCCAGAGATGATGGAGATCAAACAGAACAGGCCTCTGCAGCCTGTGGCAGAAAGCACACGCCCCTCTACCACAATTTCCAACATCAGTCCCATCTCATCTTCCTTAGTGCTGGCCTTTTCTCTCAGCGCTTACCTCAGATGTGTGATTCACTACAGAAGAATGAGCTTCCTCAACTGAGGGCTCTCACAGAATGGGATTCCATGGTTGAAATGCTATGGTTGATTGGCAAGGCCGGAACCACAGAATGCAAATATATTATTATTGTTATACATGAATTCATGAAGAAATTATGAAATTATATCATTAAGCAATAAGGCCAGAGGGTGTGTGGTATATGGCCAATATACCATGGCTAAGGGCTTTTCTTATGCACGACGCAATGCGGAGTGCCTGGATACAGCTCTTAGCCATGGTATATTTTACTGCAATCCAGCACTGCTGGTATAGATAGAGCTAAGTGACTCACTGATATCTGTCACCCCACCTCCCCATGCCTCTGAAACTTTCAAAGTCGCAGTCTCCAGAAAACCGGCACCCGTATAGCGGGTTACTCTCTGGTCGATATGACCTACTAAAATATATTTATATTCCTCCCACTGCTTTTTGGAGTCATCTCCCTGGGACAGCCAGCCTATTTCTGGTGTCTTGCTCACCCCCCCCCCCTCTCCACATCTTCCTGCCTCCCCAAACTAGTTCCTGAAGGTCACCCTGCTGTTCTAGTTTGAACTTTGAGAATAATTAGACAGAATGAAACCAGGACAGTGAGGAGGAGAGCTGGTGCCACGAGGGCCGCAAGTCTGTTACGTATCGACGTCCCTAAGGAAGGAAGTCATACTGTAGCTAAGTGGGCGACGACACTTATACACACCACACATCTGTTTCATGATTGGCAAATCTTCAGTCAGTCGCTGTCACATCCTCACCATCCTACCCTAGTCGCTAGCGAGGCAGAAGAGGGAGGGTTTGTGTGGGGTCCGAGAAGTGGATAGATGGAGGCGGTTGCTAAAAATACAAGACAAACAGCATAGAGACATACATGGACTGTATATGGGAAGATTTTCCCTTATGACCCCTCCCTGCATAGACTGCAGCTATTTCACCTCCAATGGGGCCTGGGCAGTGTGGGCAGGAATCAGCTGCTTGTTTCCCATCTTTAATGATCTCCTGTGGATATGTCGCAGATACTTACTGAAAACAGTACACTCAGAATTGTAACAAACACTATTTTGTCCTCATTCACCTAATTCCCTAATTGCCAACATGGCTCGATAGGCAACCTAATCCTGGGAGTGCATGATGGGTATTTGGGTGCAATCATGTGATCAGTCAGGTGTGTGTGTATAGCTGACAAGTGAACAGGACAGAACAGAACAGACCTTTACTCTCAGTTTACCTTTTGAGGCCAGCGTCACTCTCATCCTGATTTATGACAGAACTAGCTACAGGGCCAACATTAGCCTGAATCCTAGTTTCCTGTGCCATGAAACAATTACACCTGAGCAAGAACTAAAATCACTAAGCAAGCTTCCCAACAAACAATCCATGCTCTCATTCAAGTCCATTACTTGTAGCCATCACATGGTTAACCTGACTGCTCTCGTTTTGGGCTCAGCAGTGAAAAGCAGAGCCGGAGAGAGATCCAGTTTCAGAGTGGGGATGTAGCAGAGATCTCGCCTGGATATGACCTGATTTGAGAGCATTGTTACACTTGTGGTTGGAGGGAGGGAATGATTAAATCAGGTCACAGGAGAATCAGCCCATCGTAGAATAGAACCCGATAAACTAAAACCATTTGTCTCCATGCTCCCTCCGCAAGCTCTAGTTTCCAGGACAACTCCCACAATGAACATCTGATGCGTTGTTATGGCAAGATGTGTTTTTGAGTTATAATAGAGAATAACAGGTTGTCATTGCAGCACAGCCTTCCAATTTCATCTTCCACTCTGAAGTTCACCGTCCCAACCATTCATCACTATTCACTGTGAAGTTTCCTTAGAACCTTAGTATGTTCCTCTGTAATAATAATGCTTAAATGTTTGACATCGTCTTCCCAATGAAAGCCAGGAACCGGGACTTCTGTCACATAGTATTATTGCATTTATGAATGGGTGTGTCAGCTTGTTTTGTTTATGTAAGTGGTCTTGCTGAGGGTTTTGGTACTGGCTTTAGGACGTGCACTGAGCTTGTAATGTTAGAGAGTGGGTTAGGATACTAAACAGTTTACTGTATAGAGAAGATGTGTGTGAACAGCAGTAGGTGTGCTAGTAAGTGTAGGTGTTCTCTTGTGTAACAGACAGTGTATTTGTGTAGGAGTGGTGGGTGTAGGTGAGTATTAATGTACTGTAAGTGTGCCCCCGTGTAAAGAGTTTATGTGTTAATACTGTGAAATACTTCAATATTGAAAGAAATAAGTCTATGTGGCTTATTTCTTTATCTGGTCTGTGAGATGAACATTGGGCAGGAAAACAGGAAGTGAGACAGTATGGAGGAAAACCCACCACCTCTGGCCTGGTTATCATGCTGATACGAACAGTCTTTCGCACTCATTATGATCCAACATTATTTTCATCCCTACAGTTTGACTGAGAGAACCAGTCAAACATGGATCCTGTTGCTATGCAACTACAGTATCATTCTCTTTTTTATCAGATTGCCAGTAAAACATGGAGCTCATAGCAAATCTGCTATGAGCAAACCTTATCTGACCTCCAGGGCCAGGCGATAAGAGATCATCTCAGGTTCGCAGACCTTTAGACTGAGCTGGAGGGAGATTTGAGAGTGGCTAGGCGATCCTGGAACCAGAATAGTACTGAATCAATGGTGGCTGTGGCTGTCTAGTAACAGGTACAAATAACTCTGTAATGATAACAGTTATTTTTTTATACCTAAATGGCCCAACTTTTTTATGCCCCCCCCTCACCACTACCACCTTCACTTCTCTCACAAAACACATTGAAAAAATTTGATACTCCTTCATGTTACAGTTGCTAACAGCATACCATACCTATAAATAACATCTCTCACTTAATTATAAATGTACAGATATGAATACCTGATTAAGTATTCCCTGTTAAGATACTGAATGAAGCGCATTGGCATTTTCAAGCAAGGGTTCCCCCTAGTGGATATACAATCAATAAAACATTTCAAAACTGCAGCAGCTACAAAACGACATGAAAACATTCCTAAAATTGGGGGATCTTATGTGATTCAGTTGAAAGCACTAGTCGTAAACAAACTGAATCTATATGTTGCCCTAATCAAGTGTTTATATAACATCTAAAACAGAGGAAGAAATACAGCAGCTGTTGTTGAAGTGAAGAATCAACAGCAAACATTTATCATCCCATCCCTCAACATAACTCACCACAAACAAACAAAACCTGAAATGTTGCTGTAAAGATATGTGCGTAGTAAATGTATACAAAAAAAATGGTGTGTTTCTCTGACAGGGTAGACAGTGTGATGGAGAGTATATGACTGGCTGGAATGCAAAGCAGATAGGAGGGTAAGAAGTAGGTACAGAACCATGAGTGCCACTCACTGTGAGACAATCCTATGGTCCAGGAGTATCAATGTCCTACCACTCATCCTATCTCAGGTAAATATGGCATCCCTATCTTACAGAGAAATAGTTTGTTTATGGTGTTGTTTTTGATAGCATGACCATCTGTAGAGCATTTACAGATGGACACTCCAGACTATCCAAAGAAAGTGTGATCTCAATGATGAATAATACAATCAGCACACCTCTGTCTTCTTACAGGAATTGTTCACAGCACTATGTCACCATTGTCAGGCAATGCTATCAGGTACAAAAATCATGTGCTTTACAGTATCTTTGGTTTCTATGTTTTATTGCCTCTTGTTTATTCCATGTCAGTAACTACTTTGTTTAAAAGGGAAATTACAGTTATAAAAGAGAATAATTACACCATTACATTTATCTCATTGGTTTGTCTTTAGGGTGAATCGAAATGCACATGATCCCTATGTTGACATCAGGGGCACTACACACCCCACTACTGGTCCTGGAGATCCTGAATCTACAGGATCATCTGAAATATTAGCTACCACCACATCCATGGACCTGTCTGCATACACCACTGAAACAGCCTTTACAATATCACAACAGGGAGAGTCAAACCCCCCTTCAACAACATTGGGAGCTCCCTCACCTGCGGATGACATCATAACGGAAACTTCACATGTCCTGACAACCACTTTTACACAAGCACCTTCCACAAAAAAAACAACCTGCAAGCATGTCTCAAATAGCCCTTGCAACGAAAATGCCTGCCCAATTTGAAACAGCAGATCTAAAGTCTATAGAAACTACAAACATATTGGAAGAAACTTCATATGAGACAAAAACAACAGAGAGAACAGCCGTAAATTCATTCAAAACATCAGCAACAGGCATCTTGAAATCATCATCTGAAAATTCAGAGGTAAAAACAACTGTCTACAAGTACATTTGAACCAGTCCTTGTTGACGCTCCTGAAAGATCCTCAATTTCAAAAGACATGATAACTACACCCACAACCTCTTCTTTGATAACAACACCTCAAATTAAATCTACAATCAAATCATAAATAGCACCAACATCTGTATATGCTACAAACTCACCTGGAATGGTAAAAACAACTACATTACAAACCATACCAACAACTTGGACATTAGGTGAAAAAGCGTTTGAGAAGCTGTTAGCCACCTCCGCTGAAAAACCATCTGAAACAACATTAGTGACGTCAACTATAATGCCAATGTCGACATCTGCTTCTTCAGCGCCAGGCAGCGTTTCTGAGACATTGCCTACAATTACATCAGAAAGGTTCACTTTTGCCACAGTTATATTCCTACCTATTGTATCAGTTCCTACACCTGATAGCCCATTGGAAACTAAAGCTTCAGCTACAACAGAACGTACAGATGAAAACAATCCTAAAACTACAGCTGCAATTTCATATGAAACAACTGATATAAACACACCTGAAACATCATCCACAACCACAGATACAACAACCCCATCAACTAAAGCTGAAACATCATCCACTTATACAACATTCCCATCAACTGCACCTGAAACATCTGTGAAAGTTACTTCTGAACCCTTTACAACAGATGCAACCATGGCCACTAGCTCATTAGAAAAACTGTCAACAGTCTACTTTCAAACATCTGAAACCACAACTACAACTGGTACATCAACTATAACTTCTACAACAAGTGACTCTACAACTATTATTGTATCTGCAACACTGTTGACAGTTCCATCAGAAAGGATAACTACATTCCCCCCATCAACCAAACCTAAAACAGCATCCACAGCCACATACACAACAATCCCACACACCGAAACATTATCCATAACTACAACATCCATATCAACCAAACCTGAAACATTATCCACAGCCACACACACACCATCCCCATCAACCAAACCTGTGTCACGTTCGTTTAAGGACGGGTCAGACCAAGCCGCAGCGTGATATGCGTACATGTTTATTACCACGATAAACACACGAACAAAACAACGAAACATGAGGTCCTCAGGCTGAAACACAATACAAGCCTCTACACGTCCGGGTGGGCATTCCGCCTCGGAGGTGGATCCGGCTCCGGGCGTGACGACCACATTCTCTAAGCCTCCCCGTTGCGCCCCTGGTCTCGTCTGGATCTCGGCGTGCTGCTTCCCCTCTCCTTCCTCCCACGATGTACCAAGCCCTGTCTGGACCCTGGTGTGGGAGACCCCGAACCTGGAGAGGGGCTGACATCTGGGTCTGGACTGGAGCCGCTGACCGGAGCTGGACTGGGCACCGGTGGAGCGGGCTGCTCTGGCTCCGGAGTGGAGCTGCTGACCGGAGCTGGATCAGACACCGGTGGAGCGGACTGCTCTGGCTCCGGAGTGGAGCAGCTGACCGGAGCTGGACTGGACACCGGTGGAGCGGACTGCTCTGGCTCCAGAGTGGAGCCGCTGACCGGAGCTGGACTAGGCACCGGTGGAGCGGACTGCTCTGGCTCCGGAGTGGAGCAGCTGACCGGAGCTGGACTAGACCCCGGTGGAGCGGACTGCTCTGGCTCCGGAGTGGAGCAGCTGACCGGAGCTGGATCAGGCACCGGTGGAGCGGACTGCTCTGGCTCCGGAGTGGAGCAGCTGACCGGTGCCGGACCAGGCACCGGTGGAACGGGAACGGGCCGTGCCGGACTGGACACACTCACCACTGGTCTGGTGCGAGGAGCAGGCACGGGCCGGACCGGACTGGCGACACGCACCACTGGCTTGGTGCGGGGAGCAGGCACGGGCCGGACCGGACTGGGAACACACACCACTGGTCTGGTGGAGGAGCAGGAACGGGCCGGGCCGGACTGGCGACACGCACCACTGGTCTGGTGCGAGGAGCAGGAACGGGCCGGGCTGGACTGGCGACACGCACCACTGGTCTGGTGCGAGGAACAGGAACGGGCCGGGCTGGACTGGCGACACGCACCACTGGCCTGGTGCGAGGAACAGGAATGGGTCGTACCAGACTGGGAACACACACCACTGGTCTGGTGCGAGGAGCAGGAACGGGCCGGGCCGGACTGGCGACACGCACCACTGGCTTGGTGCGAGGAGCAGGAACGGGCCGGGCCGGACTGGCGACCCGCACCACTGGCCTGGTGCGAAGAACAGGAACGGGCCGGTCCGGACTGGGGACATACACCACTGGCTTGGTGCGAGGAACAGGAACGGGCCGGGCAGGACTGGTAAGGTGCACTGGAGACCAGGAGCGTTGAGCCGGCACAACCCGTCCTGGCTGGCTGCCCACTTTCGCACGACACGTGCGGGGCGCTGGCACAGAACGCACTGGGCTGTGCATGCGCACTGGCGATACAGTGCGTTTCTCCGCATACATGGGTTCCTCTATTAACCCACGCTCCTTATGTTGCCTAACCAGCTCCTCTCTCCGTGCATCTACTTCCTCCTTCTCCCTACGAGCCTCCTGCAGTGCCTCCTCTTGAATGGAGCTCTCCCGCTCTATTCTTGCTATCAGCCCCCGTAATGTGGTGGCCTCCTCTCTTACCCTGCAGATCCGATCCTTCTCTCTCTCGGCACTCCTCCTCCAGTGAGGACTCCTCCGGGAGCCCCCACGAGTTAGGGAACAGAAACTCATCGTCGTCGTCATCCTCCGACTCCTCAGTATAAAACTGTTCCCACTCTTCTTCCCATGGTCGTAGGGACTCAACCTGGAAACCCACCGGGTGCAGTGGTCGGGGCTCTTCTCTCTCGCTCCCCGACCACTCCTTTAGCCCCCCTATTTTTTTTTCTTGGGGCTGCCTCTCGGGCTTCCTCCTCGGCCGGCGCCTTCTGTGTTGCCGTTGCTCCTCTCCTGCCTGGGCTTCCACCTTTGCCCAGGGTCCTTTCCCCGCAAATATCTCCTCCCATGACCAAATCTTCCCCACCTGGGTCCAGGGTGTTAGCTCTTGGGCATGCTGCTTGCAGTGTTTGGTGGGATCTTCTGTCACGTTCGTTTAAGGACGGGTCAGACCAAGCCGCAGCGTGATATGTGTACATGTTTATTACCACGATAATCACACGAACAAAACAACGAAACGTGAAGTCCTCAGGCTGAAACACAATACAAGCCTCTACACGGAACAAGATCCCACAACTAATGATACAAACAGCCTGCCTAAGTATGATCCCCAATCAGAGACAACGAGTGACAGCTGTCTCTGATTGGGAATCACACCCGGCCAAACATAGAAATACAACACCTAGAATGAGAACATAGAAATAACAACATAGAACTCCACACCCTGACTCAACATACTAGAGTCCCATAAGTCAGGGCGTGACAACCTGAAACATCATTCACAGCCACATACACACCATCCCTATCAACCGAACCTGTAATATCATACACAACTACAACATTCCCATCGACCGAAACTGAAACATCATCCACAACTACATCATCCCTATCAACCGTACCTGAAACATCATCCACAACTACAACATTCCCATCAACTGAAACATCATCCACAACTACAACATCCATATCAACCAAACCTGAAACATCATCCACATCTACAACATTCCCATCAATCGAAACTGAAACATCATCCACAACAACAACATCCATATCAACCAAATCTGAAACATAATCCACAGCCACATACACAACATACCCATCAACCGAACCTGAAACATCATCCACAACTACAACATTCTCATCAACCGAAACTGAAACATCATCCACAATTACAACATCCATATCAACCAAACCTGAAACATCATCGACAGCCACAACATTCCCATTGACCGAAACTGAAACATCATCCACACCTACAACATTCCCATCAACCGTAACTGCAACATCCACATCAACCAAACCTGAAACATCATCCAGAGCCAGAAGCACATCATATCCACCAACTGAACCAGAAACATCATCCATAACTACAACATTCCCATCAACCAAACCAGAAATAACATACGCAGCCACACAATTTACTTACCCATCAACCGAAACTGAAACATCATCCACATCCACAACAACCCCATCAACCGAAACTGAAACATCATCCACATCCACAACAACCCCATCAACCGAACCTGAAATATCATACACAACCACATACATGACATCCCTATCAACTGAAGCTGAAACATCATCCACAACAACAACATCCCTATCAACCGAACCTGAAACATCATCCACAACTACATAATTCCCATCAACCGAACCTGAAATATCATCCACAATTACAACATTCCCATCGACCGAAACAGAAACACCATCCACAACTACAACATCCATATCAACCAAACCTGAAACATCATCCACAGATACAATATCCACATCAACCGAACCTGAAACATCATTCACAGCCAGAAACACATCATCTCCACCAACCGAACCAGAAATATCATACACAGCCACATACATTACTTACCCATCAACCGAAACTGAAACATCATCCACATCCACAACAACCCCATCAATTGAAACTGAAACATCATCCACATCCACAACAACCCCATCAACTGAACCTGAAATATCATACACAACCATATACATGACATCCCTATCAACCGAAACTGAAACATCATACACATCCACAACAACCTTATCAACTGAACCTGAAACATTATCCACAACAACAACATCCCTATCAACCGAACCTGAAATATCATCCACAACTACAACATTCCCATCAACCGAACCTGAAATATCATCCACAACTACAACATTCCCATCGACCGAAACAGAAACACCATCCACAACTACAACATCCATATCAACCAAACCTGAAACATCATCCACAGATACAACATCCCTATCAACCGAACCTGAAACATCATCCACAACTACAACATTCCCATAAACTGAAACTGAAACATCATCCAAAACTACAACATCCATATCAACCAAACCTGAAACCTCATCCACAGCCACATACACAACATACCCATCAACCGAACCTGAAACATCATCCACAACTACAACATCCCCATTAACCGAACCTGAAACATCATTCACAGCCAGAAACACATCATCTCCACCAACCGAACCAGAAACATCATACACAGCCACATACATTACTTACCCATCAACCGAAACTGAAACATCTTCCACATCCACAACAACCCCATCAACTGAAACTGAAACATCATCCACAACTACAACATTCCCATCAACCGAAAATGAAACCCCATCAACCGAAACTTATACATCATCCACATCCACAACAACCCCATCAACCGAAATTGAAACATCATCCACATCCACAACAACCGTATCAACTGAACCTGAAACATCATACACAACCACATACATGACATCCCCATCAACCGAAACTGAAACATCATCCACATCCACAACAACCCCATCAACTGAAACTGAAACATCAACCACAACTACAACATTCCCATCAACTGAAGCATCATCCACAATTACAACATCCATATCAACCGAACCTGAAACATCATCCACAGATACAACATCCATATCGACCAAACCTGAAACATCATCCACAACTACATCCCCATCAACCAAAACTGAAACATCATCCACAGATAAAACATCCATATCAACCAAACCTGAAACATCATCTACAGCCACATATATGACATCCCCATCAACCAAAACTGAAACATCATCCACATCCACAACAACCCTATCAACTGAAACTGAAACATCATCCACAACTACAACATCAGCAATAACAAAACATCAGTGAACTTCATATCTGAAACATTTACACCAGATGGAACCACAACCACTATCTCAGTAGAAGAACTGTCAAAAGCCTCCCTTCAAACATTTAAAACCACAACTGAGACATCTATAACTACACTTGAAACTCCAGTTTCTACACCAAGTGACTCTTCAGCTATTACTGTACTTGCAAGACTGTCTACAGTTACATCAGGAAAGATAACTACAGCCCCACCAACAGAATCACCATTAGAAACATCCAAAGCTACATTTGAGACATCAATATCAACCATTCCAGTAACTACAGAGATAATCCCCACCGGAATATCAACTGCAACAGAAAGTCAAACAGCGACAACCTCACCTGGAAATGCATTGACAACTACAATCACATCCTCAATATCTGCTTCAACTACTGAGGGAAAAACAGCAAACCAATCTTCCATCACTCCAGAACCTCCAGCTACAAACACACGTGTTACACCAACATTTACAGCCTCTTCAGAGAAGATGAGTATATCAACATCGAATACCCTCCCAGAAATCACAACTCAGAATTTGACATCTACTTTAACATCTACCTTTTCTGTAACAAATACTTCAAACCACAACATAACTTGGATGACAACAAAAATACAAATTACAAAAGCCACTGCAGGTTCAGTCATAACTAAACCTGGCAGTGTGACGGACAAAGTTGATTCAACCAAACCTTTATCTACAACGACCACAGCTGTGCCAATCCCACCTCCACCAACATCAACTAATGACATCTTTGTGAGCGTTACTTTGATTATCCTATTATTGATGTTGGTTGCTATAACTTTAACTATTTTTTTTGTCTTTGCTCAAAATCCTAGCAAAGGAACTATAATTTATAACATCTTGGACACAAAATGTATTTTTGACTTAAAGGACCTCATGTAGTAGACCATTAAAACCTCAAGAGAGGAAGAGTAAGAGATATATTTTCCCTATCCCATGTTGATGTCACCTGAAAAGATTTAGTGCCTTTGAACAGGGTATGGTAGTAGGTGCCAGGCGCATCGGTTTGAGTGTGTCAAGAACTGCAATGCTGCTGGGTTTTTCACACTCAACAGTTTCCCGTGTGTATCAAGAATGGTCCACCACCCAAAGGACATCCAGCCAACTTGACAACTGTGGGAAGCATTGGGCCAGCAGCATCCCTGTGGAATGCTTTCGACACCTTGTAGTCCATGCCCGATGAATTGAGGCTATTCTGAGGGCAAAAGGGAGTGCAACTCAATATTAGGAAGGTGTTCCTAATGTTTTGTACACGGAGTATACACTCTTAGAAAAAAGGGTTCCAAAAGGGTTCTTCGGCTGTCCCCATAGGAAAAACATTTTGAGTTTCAGGTAGAACCCTTTTGGGTTCCATGTAGAACCCTCTGTGGAAAGGGTTCTACCTGGAACCAAAAGGGTTCTACCTGGAACCAAAAAGGGTTCTTCAATGGGTTCTCCTATAGGGACAGTCGAATAACCCTTTTAGGTTCTAGATAGCTTCCAACATACCTAACTTCATTGTTAAAGTATAAAAAAAACATGAGATACCAAACCCGCTCACAGGGTTGGTTAACTCTTGAGGTTCCTCGGATCTCCACCGAATTAGGTAAATACGCTTTTAGTTTTAATGCACCTCATTACTGGAACCAACTGCAAAATACACTGTGATTGGATGCTCTGATGCCACTTGGGCAATTCAAAATATTGATTGGGGAACAATTTGTTGAGGAATGTGGCTGTTTTTTTTGATTGTTTGTTGTCCTGTATTTTAGTTTGTTTTTGTACTATGAATTGTATATGCAGCGCTCCCTTGCGAAAGAGACCCTGGTCTAAATAGTGACTCCCTGTTTAAATAAAGGTAAAATAAAATAAGAGTGTTGTTTTTGGGCATGGTGTCACTACGAATAACCAAGACAACCTTGCTTTTATTATTGTATCATGTAATGATTGTAAATAGACTGACACACTTTATTTGGATAGTCCGGATAATGCATCTGTAGATGCTCTACAGATGGTCATACTACTAACAAGTTATCTGTTGATAAGCAACTGCTTGCTTAGGTTATGGTTAGGTTTAGAGTGTAAGGGTTAAGGTTAGGGTTAGGGTTAGGGTTAGAGTTAGGGTTAGGGTTAGGGTTAGTAGATAGTTAGTTGAAATGTTGCTGATAGTCTCAAATCAAATCTTACTGGTGCGTACACAGATTTGTAGATGTTATCGCAGGTGCAGCGAAATGCTTGTGTTTCTAGCTCCAACAGTGCAGTAATACCTAGCAATGAAAAACACAATACACACATATGTGCCATTCAGAGGGTGAATGGGCAACACAATATATTTAAGTGCCTTTGAACAGGGTATGGGCTGATGTCCTTGATGATCTTCTTGGCCTTCCTGTGACATTGGGTGCTGTAGATGCCCTGGAGGGCAGGCAGTGTGCCCCCTGTGATGCGTTGGACTGACCGCACCACCCTCTGGAGAGCCCTGCAATTGCAGACGGCGCAATTGCCGTACCAGGCGGTGATACAGCCCGACAGAATGCTCTCAATGGTGCATCTGTAGAAGTTTGTGAGGGTGTTAGGGGCCAAGCCAAATTTCTTCACCACACTGTCTGTGTGAAGGGACCACTTCAGGTTGTCAGTGATGTGCACGCTGAGGAACTTGAAGCTTTTGACCCTCTCCACTGCAGCTCTGTCGATGTGGATGGGGGCGTGCTCTCTCTGCTGTCTCCTGCAGTCCATGATCAGTTCCTTCATTGTGTTGACGTTGAGGGAGAGGTTATTTTCCTGGCACTACTCCACCAGGGGTCTCATCTCCTCCCTGTAGGCTGTTTCATCGTTGTTGGTAATTATGCCTACCACTTTTTGGTCATCAGCAAACTTGATGATGAGTTGGAGACGTGCGTGGTCGAGCAGTCATGGGTGAACACCCCTGTGGGGCCCCCGTGTTGTGGATCAGCGTGGCGGAGGTGTTGTTGCCTACCTTCACCACTTGGGGTCGGCCAGTCAGGAAGTCTGTAGATCATCTGCAGATGGACTATCCAAATAAAGTGTTACCTTTAAGTTTATTTGGAGTAAAATACATTTGAATCTGAAGACAACGTGTGCTGAATTCTACTCTATATAATTATATTCTAAATGATGAAAGTCTGGCAGAAATTGCTCCAGTATAATAAGATATTACATCATAACTACATTAACATTCTGATGAACATGGATGATGTTGACAATGGGCATACAGAATAAATATGTACAAACTATAGACAGGGAGAGCAGGGACCCTGAACATTAAGAACACTTGATCTTTCCATCACATAGACTGATCAGGTGAATCCAGGTTAAAGTTATGATCCCTTATTGATGTCACTTTTAAATCCACTTCAGTCAGTGTAGATGAAGGGGAGGAGACGGGTTCCAGAAGGATTTTTAAAGCCTTGAGACATTTATTGTGTATTTGTGCCATTCAGAGGGTGAATGGTCAAGACAGCAAATGTAAGTGCCTTTGAACGGGGTATGGTAGTGGGTGCCAGGCACACCGGTTTGTGTCAAGAACTTCAACGCTGCTGGATTTTTCACACTCAACAGTTTCCGTGTGTATCAAGAATGGTCCACCACCCAAAGGACATCCAGCCAACTTGACAACTGTGGGAAGCATTGGAGTTTGGTGTACTAAGTGTATACAGTATGTGGATCACAATAGAGTTCTCTCAGCCATTCTCTCTGAAATACTTTGAAGTCTTCTTTCTTCTCCATCGATCATGACAGGCAGAAGAAAAACTCCTTTCTTCACCAGTTGAATACATCTCTGTCAGATATTCCCTCTTTAATGTCATACTCTGTATCAGTTTCATAGCCAGTCTTAAAGGGGAATGGAAACACTAAAATTCAAGTTCTAAATCTAAGTGTTTCTATTCCCCTTTAATAGATGAGAATTTAACACCAATCAATGACAATGAATATTCAAACAAAGTTATACTGTATATTGATTACAATTTATTTGTTTGGCAGAGGCTCGTCATCTCACTGAGTACATGTAATGTGATTAATTTATGAAGCAATCTGTTCTGTAGTGCATGAGTCTGTGTTGATTTTCTTCTCATGGACAGAACAGGATATGGATGGGAAAAACCTATAATCTCAAAGAAAGAACGAATCCACTTTATAAAGAATACACTCACAAACACACATTTGGTGGTTGACTTCTGCTGTTTAATTTATTTCTCTCAAAAGCCACTTTGGTTCCTTATAATGCATAGGCAAACAAACTCTGTCATTTTGTTAAGAGAAGTCACTAAGTATGTATGCCATTCCATTTACTTTGGGGTCGATTTTCCACCGTACTCCTGAGGATTTCCTCTGGATCCACGAGTTAGGTCTGAATATTACCTTTTACCCCATTTACCTTTAGTCTAGCTTCATTTGCACTCAATATGCACATGTCAACAGTCTACAAGGCACTTAAATGGTTTCCAATGAAGTGCAATTTCCAAAACATCCCGTAAAACAAATGATTACAGGAGCTTGATAGGCACCGATCCAACAGGCAACAAAGTAATCTCCACTTCACATACTGTACAAAACTGGACAATGAAGGAGGACAGAGTCTCTAATATCCCAAAATGTACAATAATGGTCTGCTACTCATATAGGAGTTCAGACACACAGGAAGGAAGTGGGTTTGACAGGAACTTCCTCATCAAACTGCCTGTAGGAGGGCTTAAGATTCATGGATGTATGAGATCAACGCAACAAGGAAACAACTCAACAAATAAACAAAAACACAAGTTTAACAGTCAATGGACACAAACAGTTTAAAAATAATAATAATTACAAAAATACATAAAAATAAACCAAAGCATTTTCTTAATTAGGTATAAGGAAAATAATTGCGAAGAACCAAACTGGAAGCTAATTTCTAATTTCAGCGAAGGAGGAGCCAACAACAACAACACATTTTGTACATTTCAAACATTTCAAACGAGCCCTTTGAAGGCACCACAACGTTTTTTCGAGGGACAGGCAGGCACATACTGAATATTGAACTTATAAGACAGAGGGGTTGCATGTGTGTATTTATGTATGTTCGACAGAGATACAGTTCTTATAGAGCCCTGGTACGGACATGTTGGACCTTCGTGCCTGGTACACACATGTTGGGCCTTCGTGCAGGGACAAAGCCATTTTTGCAGTAGCACTTGAACGAGCCTATCGTGTTGACACAGCGGGCATTCTTGCATGGATTAACTCGGACCCCTGGTTCAGCACACTCATCAATATCTGAAAAGAGAGAGAGGGAGAGAGAAAGAGGGAGATGGTTTGACACAAAACAGAGAGCTTGCCATCTGCCTGCACATCAATTTACATATAATAATAAATAATAATAAATGCCATTTAGCAGACGCTTTTATCCAAAGCGACTTACAGTCATGCGTGCATACATTTTTGTGTATGGGTGGTCCCATATAACAATGTTCCCTCAAATTTTTTTGGGCGCTGAGCAAATGTTAGGTCTGCTGAGCGCAAACTTAAACGTTGTGAAAATTCTGTGCAACGTTTGGCACGCGTTTACTGTGAACACTGAGGCTGTACCCGCTTTAAGTTACAGTTATAACAGTGGCCAAGTAGGCTACTGTGGCTATTTGATCATAATGTAGGCATTATAGAGAGGCCTACCATCAAAAACAATAGAGAAAATGCATCCCATAACATTTTAACCTGTAAATAGCTGTTCTGTCATTCAGCCTACAGTAGCAGGCAATGTGTGGTGTTCAATGTAGGCCTACATTCCGTGAGACTTTTGGAAAAAATATGCAGGGCTTGATATGAACCTGTTTATCCACTTGTCCTTCGGACAAGGAGGTGACTGAAAACGTGCTGTTTAATGCAAGAAACCACTTTACAAAATAAAGTTCATTATTATTCCCATACCATTATTACAGAGAATCAGACAAATTATGCTACCCTCTGCCTATTGGCAACTTAGCTTATTCAAGCCTGTCTCAAAATACAACACTGCCTCTTTAAGAGAGAAACAATGCTCTTTACCTGACTCGTTTTTCAAAGATGTCTAGAAATGCACACGTTTTGTACTCTTGTAAGAAGCAACCATTTCTCCATTGCTGACTAGAAATTAGCTATAACTGGGCTAATAACTCACTTACTAGCAAAGAATATTAACAAATGTGTACACGTGGCTACATGCAGCTCACGCTTTGATCTCAAAACAAGTGTATCTACTCATGCTGTAAACACAGTCCAGTTCAAAGTGGATGGCACAGATCCATATATGGTAATTGTCTATTTGCATATAGGGATACTGCAGCTCTGATTGGTTAATGCCGCACCGGTCTGTAGAGTATGGGCTGAGATGTGCCTGTCAATGCAATAGAATCCTACTCTGGTGCGTTCTGCCAACAAGAAAATCTCTTGCATAGTTAGTTTTGCATACTAAGTCTTGCATAGTTTGTTATGTTTCGGTATATTGCATTGAAAGTGGCTAATATTGGCAATTCCCACAGTAGAGGGAAACGTTGATAGTGTTAACTAAAGGGGAAAACTAGAAAGTTGAGTGAAGTTCAGTCTCGTGCTTCTGTGCGTGGACTGATATTTCTCCTGTGCGGTAGTCCCGTGGAGCTGGGGCCGCGCACACACGCACGCAGCTTAGAGGGAACATTGCATATAAAATCAACAACCAGATGTTCTTTTAAATGCTAAATACAATTTCAGACATGTCTGTCAAAACACTTCAACAAAGGACAACAGCTACAAATTATACAGAGACTCTTCTGTTCGCAGAATTGATGAGCATCCAAATTGGCATCCACCTAAAGATTGAGATGACTGAACTGAAGCTAAAATGCAAGCATTCGCCTTCCCTCTAATCCAACCCAAAGTTAAAGGGAAGCAGACAGACAGAATATGTGGATTGTCAACATACCTGTGCAGCGGGTGCGGGAGTGGTCCAGCCTAAAGCCTGTGTTGCACTCACACATAGTGCCCAAGTAGGAACGCACACAGCGACCATTGGCACAACTACACTCATCTGAGTCCTCTTCTGAACTGTCCCCTTCTGAGCCAAAACAGAGAGAGAGAGAGAGAGAGAGAGAGAGAGAGAATGAAAGATACAGGAGAGAGGGAGAGAAAATATTATTCTAGTGGTGTGATGGTAGAGGGTGTGCTCTGAGGTAAATTCATAAAAAAATTCAGAGTGTAATCAAATATATTACAGGCCTTACCAATACCTGGGTTGTAGTTGGCGAAAGCTGCCAGGAAATCTCCCTCACCATCAGACTCTGTCTCCAAGTGCATCTCACACAGCCGGTTAAAGATCCCTGAATGAGACAAATAGTTAAGTCTTCTTAAAGGCCCAGTGCAGTGAAAATTCTGTTTTACCTGTGTTTTATATCATATTGTACAACAGCTGATGAAACTAACACTGTAAAAGTGTAACGAATGTGATCAGTGTTATTTCCTGATAGTTGCTGGTTGAAAATACAATCTACACAGGACCTTCTAATCAGCAGGTTTGCATGGGCGGGAGTTTCGGCTTTCCATGGTAACATCACCATGCGGTAAATTGGTTAATAGACCAATAACAAAGATAGTTCCAAACATCTCTGCCAATAACAGCTATTTTTCAATTTTCCTATCCCCACTCAGACCACTCCCAGACAGCCCTTCGCTAAAAAGCTATTTTTGTCAATTTTAATGGAACTCTGTTACAGTAATGTACTTAATTGTTACCCAGAAATGATTTGATATTAAAACAGATGCATTGGACCTTTAAGTTATTAGTATTAGACTATTTATGCTGATATGGGCAAAGCTGAAACAGAAGTGACCAGCAGACCAAAAACCAGTGAAGGAAATGTTGCTGGTGCCCACCGGAGTTTCTCTGGGGGCAGGTCCTACACTCAGGGCCCCATCCACGGCCATAGTGACAGCAGCACTCAGAGTAGGTGACCACCAAACCGTTCCTGGGGTGGCTGCAGATCAGGTCCTCATCCACCTGCAGGAAACACACGTCCTTATGGGCCGCTGTGCGGTCTGTGGGTAGGGGGGGGGGGGGGGGGGGGGGGGGGGGGGGGGGGGGGGAGAAAGAGAAAGAGAGAGAGAGAGAGGAGAGAGAGAGGAGAGAGAGAGAGAGGAGAGAGAGAGAGAGAGAGAGAGAGAGAGGAGAGAGAGAGAGAGAGAGAGAGAGAGAGAGAGAGAGAGAGAGAGAAAGAAAGAAAGAGAGGAATCTTAAGTATTATTCAATCAAATAAAGAAGCCAATCTTTGCTCCTGCATTATGCAAGCAGGCCAGATCCTGAAACTTTTCATGACTTCTATGATTAAGCAAGTAATTGCTCAGCATGTTAACAGCCAGCAGGTAGATATGAATAAGTGATGAGGCCTAGCTTGAGGTGGTAGGGCTCAGAGATACACCAGACCTCTGCTCTGCACATTCATTTACGGTCACACATCACACACAAAGATGGAGCCATAAAGATCCATAAAGACCAGCTAGACACAATAAAGTAAAAGCTGTATTGTCAATGCAAACTTGTGAGAGTTTACAACAAAATTATTGAAAGAAAGTAACACAATCACAAGAGTAATGTCACAACAACGTATCCAACATGTTACAACATCACATGTATCACAATAGTAAACAGTTTGGTTAAAAGGAGAAACATTGCTTTGGAGAAAGGAAGGTTCAGAAAATGCCACAAGCCATCTCATTTGCCTCCATTTTATGTCTACTTCTCTGACACACAAGCAAGTGCACACAATGAAGGATGAAGTAATAAAGTGTTTTCCTGTGACTATGCAAGCTTAGTGGGACAACCACGGAAACTGAGAAATGGGCAACAGAGATCACACTGAATCTATAGAACTGAGATCACATTGACTAACTCAAGTCTCATGAACTCGCTCACTAAACTGAGAGTGTGTTTCTATAGAAACAAGCAAGAGGGGGAGTGGTGAGCCTGTGCATAGGGTCAGTATTGGGGAGAGGGGGCTCAAAAGGGGAGGAGTTAAAAAGAGTAGCAGGAGTGGCAGGTGTACAGGTAAGCCAAAACTCAGGTGAGCTAAGCACTGATTGGTCAGGCTCAGGCGAGCTGAGCGCCGATTGGTTATACCCACCGTCATAGACACACTGTTTGAGCGCTGCGCTGAAGGTGAGGGGCTGGGTACATATACAGTGAAAGGAGCCGGGCGTGTTCACACACCTCCCATTCTTACAGTACGAGGGGTCCTGGCACTCATTGATATCTGCAAGGGCACCACAGACACCACAAACACGGTTACACAACCTACGGATGGATGGACACCAGCCTGGGGAGAGCTCACAGCTTAAAGTGACGTTGAACAGGCCTGCAGGCAGATCACTACGTTACACTGCTTCCTGAGAGCATGCAGAGTGTTTGGGTGTCTATCGGTACAACAGTGAACACGGGCCAGGAGGTGGCTATAGGACCAGGGTTGTGTTTAAGTTTATCTCTGATGTATGTGACAGACATGAGGTTATGTAAATGTCAGAGCGGGTGAGGCTGAAGGGGCAGGTCTGGCTGATTAGTAGTGTTAGACTGGAACTAACATTAAAAAACATGATCTCATTCAACCTTCATACACACAGCCACCCCTGAGAACCAACCCACTGTGAACTAGACTGCCCAGCCTCTCTCACAACACCACCACCTTCCAGTCATCCATCCTGAGCTTCCTGAACCCACCTCCTTCCCTGCTAAGGACAGCAGTACCCTCTCCTCCACTCACCAGCCTGCTCCTCTGGGGTCACACAGCTGTTGCGGTCGGTGGCCAGTATCCAGGGGGGAGAGCAGATACAGTAGTAGGATCCAGGGGTGTCCACACAGTGGCCATTCTTACAGTTCAACGAGTCCTGGCACTCATCCACACCTGCAACAACACAAACACACTGCTGACTTAACACCAGTCCTCTTCTATGGCCTATACTGTACTGTACCTCCCTGTGTGTGCGGATGCGGGTACAGTATGTATAGTAGAGGGCTCTACCCAGATCTCACCTGCCACCGTGGGGATGACACACTTCTTATTGGAGGCTTCGTAGATCCAGGGGGACTTACAGGTGCAGTAGAAGGAGCCTCTGGTGTTCTTACACTGACCGTTGGTACACAGAGACTCGTCGTGGCACTCATTCACATCTGAGGAGAAGACACATTAACATAGAGGATCTGTGACTAAATGGGATATCTGATGTGTATTCGTATGTAATGAAATAGAGGTGTGTTTTGGTGCAGGCAGGTGGGTCTCTGGTGGGTTACCGATGCACTCCAGTAGGTTGCTGTCGTAGTAGAAGCCCTGTTGGCAGTAACATTCATAGCCAGGCTGTGTGTTCATACAGCGGCCCTCCTTACAGATCTCATTGGAGAACAGCACACACTCATCGATATCTGTACACAGAGGGACAGGAACACAGATTTCAACACAAACAAACTCCCCCTGAGAACAAATACTGTCATGTAAATGAATGCTGTAAATCAGATAACAGCAAACCTACAGTGTTGGGTTGTGGTTGTGTAGCTACTCACCTCTGTGGACAGACAGGCCATAGTCAGTTACTCCCTCCTCATGGTAGAAACCTCTGCCCACTGGACACAGGGAGTGGAACTCAGCTGGTTGAGGGAAAAACAGGAAATCAATTAAACAATGTACTTATCACACTTTACCTATTCACTTAATTCACCTGCTTTTAGTAATCAATGAATGACATTGAACAGCTCAAATAACTGAACTGACCCCCAGCCCACTTGATGGTTTGTTAAACTAGTGTGTATGTTGTTGGTCCAGGGGTAAAAGCCCCCCAAAAAATCAGATGACTGAAACTTCACTCACATCGATTGTCTGGGGCCAAGTTAACCTCCCCTTTCATGTAAGAAAGTCATGACCATAATGCTTTTAGGCAAAGATAATAATTTTGTACATGTATTAAACTGCGAGTTTCACCAATTCCAGTCCTCTTGCTTTGTTGACACCATATAGTTGACACCATATATACTGAACAGAAAAAAAACGGGCCTGGGAGGGCACTTGGGAGCCAGGCCCACCCACTGGGGAGCCAGGACCAGCCAATCAGAATTTGTTTTTCCCTACAGAAGGGCTTTACTACAGACAGAAATAGTCCTGCCAAATTCTCAAAACAACTTTGGAGGAGGCTTATGGTAGATAAATTAACATTCAGTTATCTGGCAACAGCTCTGTTGGACATTCCTGCAGTCAGTATGCCAATTGCACGCTTCCTCAAAACTTGAGACATCTGTGGCATTATGTTGTGTGACAAAACTGCACATTTTAGAGTAGCCTTTTATTGTCTCCAGCACAAGGGACACCTGTGTAATGATCATGCTGTTTAATCAGCTTCTTGATATGCCAAACCTGTCAGGTGGATGGATTATCTTGGCAAAGGAGAAATGCTCACTAACAGGGATGTCCCCTGTAGCTCAGTTGGTAGAGAATGGTGCTTGCAACGCCAGGGTTGTGGGTTCGTTTCCTACGGGGGGCCAGTATGAAAATGTATGCACTCACTAACTGTAAGTCTGTAAGTAAAATACAAATGTAAACAAATTTGTTCACAATAAAAAAATGCTTTTTGTGCGTATGGAACATTTCTGGGATCTTTTATTTCAGCTCATGAAACATGGGACCAACATTTTACATGTTGCATTTATATTTTTGTTCAGTATAAAATGTAATTTCCACCTCCAGAAATGGGCCCAATAAAATTTGTAAAAATTATGTAAAAATGATTTTAACATATTGGACCATGCATATAGCCTATGCATGGTCTATATTATCAGATGTGCTATTAGCAATAAGCATAATAACCTATAACCCAACTGATGAAGGATAGTGGCTATAAAATGCACATAGGCTGAAGCATGGGGTTTATCCATCTGCATTTACCCCATTGGACACAACATCCTGATTGTTATTATTATTAATTTTTATTATTTTATTATAAATACGAATATATAAATAATTATTATTCACACAAAAAATGATATATATTTTTTGTTTCTATTACAAAGTATGTAATTTCCCTTTTAAGACAACTTGCCCCTTTAAGAGCTCTGTTGCGCAGCTTCCCTAAACCATGCTTGATACTCAGGTTGTAATGTAAAACTGTATTTGTAAAATGATGCCACACTCGCAATTGAAGGAGTAGAGAAATAAACATGGTAGAAGTGTAAAACTGGGATCTCCCACTTTTTTTTCCACAAAGGACAAAACTGCTTTCAAAGTACATTTGCCAAAACTGCTTTTAAAAGTGTTTTCCTGCAATTGCATTAAGAATTGTTGTGCATTGACTGCTTGCAACTTGAATGCGCCTCGAGCAGCCTGGTCTCATAGACTAGACGTAACATAGTAAATGTATATCTATGAAACCAAATTAATATGATATGTTACATTTGGTATGGTTACATAAGACAGGCGGCTACTTAAGTCAAAAAACGAAAGTAGGGTGGTTGGTCGGGGTAGATGGGTGGGCGTATAACGTGAACCCAAAGGTTGCGACATTGAATCTCATCATGGACAACTTTAATATTTTTTGCCAATTAGCAACTTTTCAACTACTTACACATTTTTAGCTACTTTGCAACTACTTCCCCTAACCTTAACCCTTTTAGCTAACCCGTCCCCTAACCTTAACCCTAACCCTAACCCCAACCCCTAGCCTAGCTAACATTAGCCACCTAGCCACCTTGCTAGAATTAATAATATGTCATATGTTTTGCAAATTCATAACATATTGTATGTTTTGTAAATTCGTAACATATAATACGAATTTTAATTCATAACATTTCATACGATATGGGTGATGGACATCCACAAATGAATACATACCATACGAAACATAACATATCACACTAAATTGCTTTTCTCAGATTTACTTACAAAATAATACAAAATGCTCTGAGACCAGGTTGCCTTGAGATATATTTATCTGGCATAGAACACATAACAAAAAGCCAACTAGGTAAATAGGCAAACTATTCTACTATGTGGTTGTCTGGTTTTGTTTTAATAACAACATTACATGGCAAAAATAGTAGCACTGGAAAGTTACATCCTGAGTGATAAAGTATTGGCTTTGATTTACTTTCCAGCAGCTACAGTAGGCTTCACACTGCTGTCTGAATTGACCACTGCTGTGGTGCTCATTATAGACTATTTATTCCCTTCATCAGAACATCGGGGTGTCATCAACAATCATGTATGTCAGTTCAGTGCACACATCTAACAGAGAAAATAAAATATTTGAGAATACATTTATTTGGAAATATATTTCGTTGAACAGACATGCTTCTGACTATATTAGGCTATGTCATCGCTTTAACCCCTGTGTTGGGCCTGAGGTACGTACATGAGTGGTAGACGGGGCAGGGGTAGATCTCACAGTGGTCTCCCCAGCCCACACCGATGGAGCAGCAGCACTCCTGCTTGGTGACGTTGGTGGCCAGGACACTGTCACAGAACACTGTGTCATCCAGGTTCAGGTAACACTCCTTCTTATCCTCCACGTCTACCTCAATCTCTGGAGGGGCAGAGAGGAAATAGATTGGAGTGTGTGACTGTGTGTGTGTGTGTGTGTGTGTGTGTGTGTGTGTGTGTGTGTGTGTGTGTGTGTGTGTGTGTGTGTGTGTGTGTGTGTGTGTACATGTAGAATATAGCTATATGGAGAGAGGGATGAGAGGATATCAGAAATCTTACCCTCACAGCTGTGCTTGTCCTCAGACAGGATGAAGCCGTCTTTGCACACACACACATAGGAGCCCTGTCTGTTCTCACAGACACCATGAGGCTGACACAGACCCCTGTCTGTCGCACACTCATCTATGTCTGGGTGGGAACGAGAGAGAGGGAGAGGGAGAATGTGTTACAAACATCTGCTACAATCCTCATGACTTCCATTAAGCTTGAATTATGACAGTTTCCACTGGTTACAGAGCTCAACTGCCAGAATGGTTAACACTAATGATTTATCTCCCTGAAACTCATGGAGAGGGTGGAGACAGACTGACCTTGGCACCGCCTCCCTCCGACCAGCATGTAACCCTTCTGACATTCACAGCGGTAGGATCCCATGCTGTTGATACAGCGCCCCCTCTGGCAGTTAGAGGGACGCTCACATTCATTTACATCTGAGGGAGGAAAAGAACGATCAAACAGCGGCCATGTATTTGATCAGCAGCTCTATACAGTGAACCATAGGCGGCGTACCCAATAGGCTAGGGGAAGCTAAGCTTCCCTTAAAGTAAATTGAATTACATTTGCCAAAAATATATATAATTACTTCTGCCTATACAGAAATAAATAAAATAATTCAAAATACTACACCAGAAAACATGATTGAGCCACAGAGGTTCATTTGTATCTTTAAAATGTTTTGCTGTGGATTGTTTTAAATCACAAGGGGGGGGGGGTATTCAGTTCCGGTGAGCTCCTGCCCAAGTCAAGCACTGGCGAACAGTGATTGAGTTATATTAATAACCTAACATTACTTATGACTACCCAATCTAGGTACTTATCACACTAGGAATATATTGCTTTCGTCTGCAAATGTGATGATAGATGCATGCAATGCATTATTATAAAGGAAAATGTTTATGGTAAACAAATAGCTTCCCCAAATCTGAAACGTATGTGCTGCCTATGCAGTGAACATATTACTCATACTTCACTAGTAGTGTAATAATGTTGTAACAATTAAGCTATAGTGAGTAATAAGAGGTAGCTCCTGCCTTCACAATGGCTGCCCTCCTGAGTACGCTGGTATCCTGGGTAGCACTGGCACTGGAAGGAGCCTTCTGTGTTGACACAGCGCCCGTTGGCACACAGTCTGTCATCCTCACACTCGTCAATGTCTGGAGGGGAGAGAGGAGGAGACACATGCAGCCTGTCAATAGAACCTGTATACCCATTAAAATAATAAGATCACGTTATTGGTCAATTGCACCCAATGTCCAACCGAAATTTTACTTTTAACCCAACCCCTCCGAAAGACACATATGCATACACATACAGTACATATGCAGGTTTTGGAGAGGTGCAGGGGTCTGCCACACTGGGAGCCAGAGGAGCTGTTGGTGTTAAGTGCCTTGCTCAAAGGCACAATGGCAGGAAATTGCATCTAGGATTTGATACCAGCAACCCTCCGGTTGCGAGCTCACTTCATGACAGATTTTTCCCGTCGTACCCGGGATATCGAACTGGCAACTGTCTGGATGCTGGCTCAACTCTCTAACCGCTAGGCTACCTAGTTCTCTTTTTTCAATATTGTGCAGAAATACTGGTAACCACTACACCACTGCAAGTCTGCAAGCATATAATAGTGTCTGTGCAGCACTAAGATATATTCTATTTAACATTAATCAGTGCACTGACCTCTGCAGTCTTTGCTGTCTGCTGCTGGGAGGAAGCCCTCGTTACAGAGGCAGCGGTAGGTTCCTGGGAGGTTCTCACAGCGCCCGTTCGGACACACACCGCGCTTCTGGCACTCATTGACATCTAGTGGAGAGGTAGAGGGGTTGCAGGGGGTAGGGGTGGAGTAGGGGAGGGATGGAAACAGTCAGTCATACAGAGGAATACTAGCTCTGGACTGGCCCAGTGCCTGTTGGCATCCTGCCTGCTGGCCCTGTGTGTCTGGGGCAGACTCCCTCTGGCTGATTTACTGACTATGACTGATCAAATCCATTCTCTACATCACACACAGCTCTGAATAGTGAATACCTTCAATGTCATGGTTCAGACAAAACTAACTGGGGAAGATCAACATATTGAATGTTCAGATTCAATATTCTAATTGCTGATTTGACTTGCTATCACTGTTTCCATTATGACTATCCTCTTAGTAATGCCAACTATGGTAGCATGGCCACTAGGTGGCAATACATCACCAAATGTAATGGCTCAAGTTAGAAAAGGTATAACATTTACATTTACGTCATTTAGCAGACGCTCTTATCCAGAGCGACTTACAGTTAGTGAGTGTAGTTTTTCATACTGGCCCCCCGTGGGAAACGAACCCACAACCCTGGCGTTGCAAACGCCATGCTCTACCAACTGAGCTACATCCCTGCCGGCCAATCCCTCCCCTACCCTGGGCCAATTGTGCGCCGCCCCGTGGGTCTACCGGTCGCGGCCGGCTACGACAGAGCCTGGATTCTAACCAGGATCTCTAGTGGCACAGCTAGCACTGCGATGCAGTGCCTTAGACCACTGCGCCACTCGGGAGGCACATATATACAACAGTGAGATAGATAGTTATAGCAGTTATGGAGGCTCCTCAGAGGACGAAGGGGAGTACCATCCTCCTCAGTGAATTTCATAAAACGTAAAATTGCAAAACATTTACAAAGTTATCATTTTTAGATAAAACTATACTAAATATAATCACGTCACCAAATAATTGATTAAAACAAACTATTTTGCAAAGAAGGTCTACAGTAGCCTCAACAGCACTCTGTAGGGTAGCACCATGGTGTAGCCGGAGGACTGCTAGCTTCCGTCCTCCTCTGGGTACATTGACTTCAATACAAAACCTAGGAGGCTCATGGTTCTCACCCCCTTCCATAGACTTACACAGTAATTATGACAACTTCCAGAGGACGTCTTCCAGCCTATCAGAGCTCTTTCAGCATGAACTGACATGTTGTCCACCCAATCAAAGGATCATAGAATTATCTAGTACTGAAAGCATAAGCTACAGCTAGCTAGCACTGCAGTGTATAACATGTGGTGAGTAGTTGAATCAAAGAGAGAAAGACAATAGTTGAACAGTTTTGAACAAATAAAGATCTTCCAAAATGAAGGAGAAGCAAAAGGGAAATAGAGAGAGAGAGAGATTGTCAGTTTATTTCACTTTCAGTTTCACTTACTTAGCTAGCAAATGCAGCTAGCTAGTGTAGCCTACTGAAACACCCTGCTCAAACAGAGGGATGCTATATTAGCTAGCTGGCTATGACTTTCCAACACAACACTGGAACTCTTTCAAGTCAAGGTAAGCTTTTGGTATTACTAATTTATTGCCACCGGGGATCGCCGGGGTAACTGCTTACTGACTGTATACTGTAACGTTACTTCATAATTGTAGCAGGTTTACTAAAGCATTCCGTGTGGCTCAGTTGGTAGAGCATGGCACTTGCAACACCAGGGTTGTGGGTTTGATTCCCACGGGGGATCAGTACGAAAAAAGTATGAATATTTATGAACTCACTACTGTAAGTCGCTCTGGATAAGAGCGTCTGCTAAATTACAAAAATGTAAAATGTTAGTTCTATTAGCTATGCTGACTATGACCTTACTTTAGCTAATATGGTGACAACGATGTAGGCTGTATGTAGTGGTTTGGCTTGGAAAGGTTTTTTCGCCTGGTCACATACAGCTGATGTGTTGTGCATTGAAGTCCACAAGCAAAGGGAAGAGGTGAGAGGAGGAGAGCGACAAGGAATACAAAGTGGCTGCTATGAAAGTTAACTGTGTTTACGCGTGATCAGGGGTGTATTAATTCCACCGATTCTGTTGAAAAATGTTTCTTCAACGGAAGCAAACGGAACAAAACGGGGATAAACATCTGAATTTGTCCAATAGAAACTCTTGTTTGCAACTGTTGGACTAATGATTACACCCTATATCAGCTAGATGCAGGCAAGAGTGTGCAAGGCGGTATTGAATGTCACTGTCTGTCCATGTGTCACTATCTGTGACCTCAAATTTGTCTCTCGACCTGTGTGTAGCTACGTTGTAAACTTTCATTCATAGGCTAGGTTGTAGCAACCTCATGATGGGTATAGGGAAAATTTTTGTATCATGTAGTAGCCTAAACCTATCACTGTTACATTGAACTGGGTGAATGGAATATGAGTGAGAGTCATCCAATATGCTGTAATAGAAATAAGGCCATGCTCATGAAAAAAAAATTGTCCTCCTCATCTTAAATGGCACTGACCGCCACTGAGTTATAGGTGATACAAATAGTTGATTGGTGTGTGTTCTCTTTAGTATGCATACATAAAGTTATTGGCTCTCACCGTAGCAGACCCCATCCTGGGCCTGGTGACCAGTTGAGCAGGGAACACACTCATAGGAGCCTGGGATGTTCTCACACTGCTCATTGGGACAGCTGCTGGGGTCCAGACACTCATTTATATCTGAGACATTAGAGACAAACACAGATATGAGACAAACACAGACACACATAAACATTATTAAACCAATGCGGACACATATACATATACTGTACGTACACACACAAAGGAATATAAGGGCAACAGATGCAGCTCTTACCTTCACAGGCTGGCTGGCGTTGTGACTTGCTCCTGAAGCCTTTCTGACACTCACACTTGTAGGACCCTGGCAGGTTAACACACTGACCCCCCTGCCCACAGATGTCAGGCTTGGAGCACTCATTCACATCTAAAGATAAGTTCAAAACACCCTCATGAGAAATCCCACAATGTGAAGACTAAAAGATAACATTTGAACAATTGAACCCACACCACACCACACCACTCACCTATACACCTGAGCTTCCCATGGTACACCAGGAGCTTGTAGCCATGGAGACAGCGGCAGCGGTAGGAGCCTTCTGTGTTGATGCAGATTCCTCTGCTGTGGCCACATGGCTCAGCGTCACATTCATCATCATCTGGCAGAGAGGGATAACTTGGAAGTTTAGAGAATTGGGAGGTTACAACTCCTTTAGAGAATTAACACGCAAGTTCAATTGACTACAGCTCAGCGTTCAACACCATAGTGCCCTCAAAGCTCATCACTAAGCTAAGGATCCTGGGACTAAACACCTCCCTCTGCAACTGGATCCTGGACTTCCTGACGGGCCGCCCCCAGGTGGTAAGGGTAGGTAACAACACATCTGTCACGCTGATCCTCAACACGGGGGCCCCTCAGGGGTGCGTGCTCAGTCCTCTCCTGTACTCCCTGTTTACCCATGACTGCATGGTCAGGCACGACTCCAACACTATCATTAAGTTTGCCGACGACACAACAGTGGTAGGCCTGATCACCGACAACGATGAGGCAGCCTATAGGGAGGAGGTCAGAGACCTGGCCGTGTGGTGCCAGGATAACAACCTCTCCCTCAACGTGACCAAGACAAAGGAGATGATTGTGGACTACAGGAAAAAAAGAGGACTGAGCACGCCCCCATTCTCATCGACGGGCTGTAGTGGAACAGGTTGAGAGCTTCAAGTTCTTTGGTGTCCACATCACCAACAAACTATCATGGTCCAAACACACCAAGACAGTCGTGAAGAGGGCACGACAAAGCCTATTCCCCCTCAGGAGACTGAAAAGATTTGGCATGGGTCCTCAGATCCTCAAAATATTCTACAGCTGCACCATCAAGAGCATCCTGACTGGTTGCATCACCGCCTGGTATGGCAACTGCTCGGCCTCCGACCGCAAGGCACTACAGAGGGTAGTGCGTCCGGCCCAGTACATCACTGGGGCCAAGCTTCCTGCCATCCAGGACCTCTATACCAGGCGGTGTCAGAGGAGCGGCAAGCGGTACCGGAGCGCCAAGTCTAGGTCCAAAAGGCTTCTCAACAGCTTCTACCCCCAAGCCATAAGACTCCCGAACAGCTAATCATGGCTACCCAGACTATTTGCACTGCCCCCCCACCCCCACCCCATCTTTTTACGCTGCTGCTACTCTGTTAATTATTTATGCATAGTCACTTTAACTCTACCCACATGTACATATTACCTCAACTACCTCAACTAGCCGGTGCCCCTGCACATTGACTCTGCACCGGTACCCCCCTGTATATAGCCCCCCTACTGTTATTTTATTTTACTTTTGGTCTTTTTTTCTCAACACTTTTTGTTGTTGTTGTTTTATTTTACTTTTTTATTAAAAAAATAAATGCATTGTTGGTTAAGGGCTGTAAGTAAGCATTTCATGGTAATGTCTACACCTGTTGTATTCGGCACATGTGGCAAATAAAATTTGATTTGATTTGATTTGACTAGTTTCAGGAAACTAGGCATATGTCACGCATCACTACTTCACAGGAAATGCATTTGAACGTAAACATACATTTTTTAGCAAAATGCGTTTTTTGGCAGAAATGCATTCTGGAATGTGACCTTTCATGTGCCTTAATAACAAAATTGTATACCATCTGTAAATACGAATACAATTGTTAAATTACGAGCCTAGTTGGTTTAGCCACGGAAAAAGACAGGAACCTTCCCGCTAGCCATGAGATAATGGATGGGCTGGACATGCCGAGAGATGAGTTCGGATTGGTCTGCCATGTAGCACGCTTCTGTCTATAACAAAGGGCTGCTCAGTATGTGTAGGTAATCCTTTCGAACGCAGGTTTTTAAAAAATATATCACAAATAACTGCAAAAGTGTTGCTCTCCACTTTCTGGAGGACAGAGTTTTGAAATCAGTGGAATGCCCGGTGGAAGCAGAGTATGATAGCTAAGGAGATGGAGAAAATTCTGCCGTTTGATTGCAAATATGCGGAGGGAGTTGAAAAGAGAACACACAGAAGGCTGTTGTATAAAACACCTGTCTCCAGATTACAGATGCATATATGGCATCCATGACAGAGATGGAGAAGCGTTCATCCATGTATACGGGTAAGAGAGCTAGCTACATTATCAGATATTATATGTTTCAAATTCTGTCCGAAAGTCATTTTCATTGCAAGTTAAAGCGTACTGTTAGCTAGCTAGCTAACGTTAGCTGGCTGGCTCGCTAGCTAACTTTACATGTATGATCTGTGTAGTAAGAGTATTCATATCTCAGAGCCATTTGCATTACTAGTTATAGCCTAATGTTAGCTAGCTAGCTAACATTGAATTTAGTTGGTTAGCTACCTGCAGATTCATGCAGGGTAGTAACGTTATGAGTTGGGATTATGCTTCATTGTCTAAACAAAAGACTCCACTATGCAAGGTACCATTTCACTGTACCGTTTACACCTTCTGTATCCTGTGCATGTGACAAATAAACTTTGATTTTATTTGATATAGTGTGTGTTTACCAGAGACGGTAATGTGAAGAACAACATGACCTGCACCAACGTCCAATTATGATATAACGTTAGACCAACAAGACAGTGTCCAAGTTCTAAAATTCTCCAGTAGAATGGTTTTATTTAGTCACACTCACAACCGTAAGCTATTTTCTGTAATTAGCTTGCCATTAACCTGTAAATAATGATCTTGTAGTGAGTTTATTTTCCTGTAATAATGAATACAAATTAGCTAAAGTTAAGACGTTGTCAGCTATATAATATGGTCATTATTTGAACTGGTTAGCCAGCTAACTTAATGTTAGCTAGCTAGCTAACAAGCTAGAAACTAACCAAAACATTGTTTAGAAAGTTGCTTTTAGTAGGCCTCCCGAGTGCATCGCAGTGTTGCGGCATCACTACAGCCTGGGGTTTGATCCCAGGCTGTGTCATTTCCAGCCGTGACCGAGAGTCCCATAGGGCAGCGCACAGCGCCGTCCGGGTTAGGGGAGGGTTTGGCCGGGGGTACTTGGCTCATCGCGTTCTCCTTGTGGTGGGCCGGGCGCCTGCAGGCTGACTTCGGTCGTCAGTTGAACAGTGTTTCCTCTGACACAAAGGTGCAGCTGGCTTCCGGGTTAAGCGAGTGGGTGTTAAAAAGCGCAGTTTGGTGGGTCATGTTTTGGAGGACACATGACTCAACCTTTGCCTCTCCTGAGCCCGTTGGGGAATTGCAGCGATGAGACAAGATTGTAATCATGAAATTGGGGTGAAAAAGGGGGTAAAAATTACAAACAAAAATGTTTTGCTTTTAGTTGCCTGGTTTGCTAGATTTACATATACTAAATTCATTTTTAAACGGATGGGTTTATTGGTGTTAAAATATACCAGTTATGCTATTTTGGACCACCAGGCTGCTGATGTCATGCATGTGAATCCTTAAGGAGATGGGTGGGGCTAAGGCTTAAGAGGGTGTGAACGATACTGAATGGGTGTAGACAAAGAAGAGCTCTCCAGAACGTGTACCAAAACATTCAAGGGTCATTTTCTCAAAAGTGGGGTTACAAATTCATCAACTTTCAAAGCAGAATTACTTTCCCATTGTTCCTCAACTGTAGTATATGATATACCATTTACTTTTATCCAATGTAAAAAACAACATTTCAAATGTTGCTACATAAGACCGAATCGAGCCGGTCGGTCACAATTGAACTTTTTGGATATAGAGTGCCAAAATCTTTACCCAGTAAATCCCTCCCATCCCTTTGGCCATGCCCCTATCCTGTCCCTTGACTTACCCACACAGGCGTTCCTCTGAGGGTGGAGCCGGTAGCCAGCATAGCACTCACACTTGTAGCCAGTGTGCACGTTGACACACTCCCCATGGCCACAGAGGTTCCTGTTCAGCCTGCACTCGTCTGTCTCTGCTGTGGGGAGGGGACACACAGCAATCTACCTAAGACAGTTGATCTCTGTACTGAACATCCCATCATGATGACAACAACACTGCAGCTATAAGCTGAGAGTTAATAGGCTGATAATAGTTTTGATTAGATTGTGTAGTGGAACTCACGTGAGACCTGCGTCTGTGCCACCTCCAGGGGGTCACTGCCTGGGTTCAACCTAATGATGGGCGGATGGGTGGGCTTGGTGATGATCACTTTGGGACCAACCAGAGAAACAGACAGACCCAATCAATGCCCCATGTCTCCCTGAATATCAACAGGTTTCCCTAGCAAATGGGCTCTCTTGACCCTAATAGGACTTTCTGGATGAATACAAGTGAAATAAAGAATAAAGGAATGAGAGGCGTACCAGGGACACGGGGGCCGTGGGTGCTGATGGGAGACAGCTGCATGGGTGTGGTTGTCTCTGGAGGCTCCTCCTACAGGAAAGGGGACAGAGACACAGACATGTCTAAGAGGAGCTGCGGACACACAGTCTCTCGCATAATGACTGGTGTCTAAAGGAAAATAGTTTCTTACCGGGGGCTTGACTTCTGAAAAGGAGAACACACAGAGAAAAACAGGTCAAAATACTGAATAATTATCCATTTTCATTTACAGATGATGAATTTAGTCACTTTACCCTTACCTACATGTACATATTACCTCAATTACCTCGACTAATCTGTATCCCCACACATTGACTCGGTACCAGTACCCCCTGTATATAGCCTCGTTATTGTTATTTTATTGTGTTACTTTTTCAAACTTTTGTTTATTTAGTAAATATTTTCTTAACTCTTATTTTTCTTAAAACTGCATTGTTGGTTAAGGTCTTTTAAGTAAGCATTTCACAGTAAGGTCTACACCTGTTGTATTCGGCACATGTGATTAGATTTTTAAGCACTCTAAAGTCCCAGTAATATGGAGGCATCCCCCAATAGCCCGACTGCATTCTCTCACAAGCTTAGCAATCGCATCGGTCTAAGTGACTAAGTGAATCCAGAATGAAGTACATCTGTTGGCAGGCGGACAAAGGTAATCATGTCCACCCTTCATCTACTTCCTGGGGGAAGCCACAGTGACTCACTGTCTTTCTTGTGGCTCTTGTCAGGCTTGAGGGGGACCTGCTCCAGGCTGGTGTGGATCTGAGGTGGGAACGCCACCGTCTCCCGGACATTATGGAAGAAGTAGCCCTTCCCTGCTGGACAAATCTTACTGAAGGAGGCTGGGGGACCAGGGAGAGAGGAATAGAGGTGGAAAGACAAGAGGGGATGAGATGAGCACTAATCATACAGCATCTGACCTGTCAAATACTAGAAACCGACCCCCACTCTCCTACTCTAGCATCACACTGACCCGTGCCATCTTGGGGACACCTCTCACAGTTGGAGCCCCAGGCTTTGCCCACGGTGCAGCAGCACATCTCCTGGGACAGGGACGTGGGTAGGGCGTGCTCACAGCGACCCGCCTCTGTTACTATGAGGAAACACTGACCCTGCTCCACCGGAGACGGAGACTCTGACAGCCAGGACCAATCAGAAGAGAGCAAAACACAACAGAGGTTGGAGTTAGGACATTAGGCTGACAGAAGAGGTCAGTAAGGGTAGTGCTGTTTCTTGAAGGGAAAATCACATGACATTTCTATTATTTCAGATGTGGCATTTTAAGTAAGGACATAATGGATGTGTGAAAACACTGTACTAAATATGGGGACATAAAAGGCTAGTTGTCTGCTTTGGTGACAGCTTTATGGATGTGAAACATATTCAGCTCATCTACCTATCAGGTGCTGAGGTCACCACTTGACCACTCCATTGCCAAGAAATGAAAACCCCACAATAATTAATCTTCACACACGTGAGGAGAGGATGTATAGTGTATAGTGCTGCTGCTACTGAAAGTGATATGGCTGTGCTGAGTGAATGCAGAGTTGTGTGGAGAGCAGGTCTGACTGGAGGAGATTCTGAGTCTCACCCACACATCTAGTCCTGTCCAGGGTGAAGCCAGGCTTACAGGCACACAGGAAACTACCCTGGGTGTTCAGGCATTCTCCGTTCTGACACACCCCCTGCATGGTGCACTCGTTGATGTCTTACAGGTGAGAGACAAAGAAAGAGTTGGGGGAGAGAGAGAAAGTGAGGATTGGCTTTTTTCTCCTCACATTAGTGAAGCAAATGGGCAAAGTTTTACACTCATACCAGGCATACCAAATGCGTACCAAACAAAATGTGTTAAAACGTGTGTGTAAATTATCTATTGTTTGATACATCCTCCTGATGTGGGTTGAATCAGTCAGGGGAGAGGCAGTATGTTCATGCTACCTTGACAGTGGGTGCTGTTGAGTCTCTTGTAGCCCTGAGGGCAGGTGGAACCATAGTCCTCTATGATGGTATGCAGCTTCACTACAGCATCTGAAGGTGAGGCAGAGAAGGGGGGATCAAAAGAGGAGAGAATGGAAGAATGAGAGAGCAAGGAGAGACTACACACCGCTCATCAACAACAACAAAAAAAACGTATCATAAAATGTCTGAGAATCTGATAAGACAGGCCTAAATCATTAGTAATGGATCAGGCCTATGTCAGTAGGATCCTACTCTGTTTCTAATAGCAGTAGCACACCTGATCTTAAGTAGCACACCTTAAGTAGCACACCTGATCTTAAGTACTTTACCAGCAGGAGGTCGTCGGGTGAGGTTGTGTCTCTCTCTGGCGGGAGGTAAGCTTGGCTTTATACATAGTTTGGGCTTTGTCGAGTAAAGCTTAAACTATGTATTTAGATTGTAGTTAGGTATTGTAGGTAGTTATCGTGGGTTGTTGTATGTAATTATTGTAGGTTAGTATTGTATTCGACTGAGCCCGGTGAAGCACGAAGCTAGCTAGCTAACCCACTACCTGGACTAGCTAGCGGGTAGCTACTGGCAACTATTAGCAACGGTGGATAGTTGTTTCACGCCTGAGAGTGACTGTAATTAAGCCAGCTGGCTGCCTACAATAATTACATACATTAATGCCTACCATTCAGCTGTTTCTAACCTCATTGTCTGAAGCGTTAACGTTAGGTAGTAAGTGGCTATTGTGCTTGAAATTTAGCTAGCTTGTTGCTACCTGGATAGCTACTAGTAAACAATAGCTGGAACGACCTAGCAAACAGACGCGAACTGGCTGAGTCAATTCAGTGGCTAGCTTTGCACTTGGCTAGCTAACAGTAGTAAGTTATAACCTACATTTATGTTTTGTTTTTACATATTGGTAGCCAGAGTCGTTCAAGGGAATTCGGGACATGGGTGACTAGTTAACGTTAGCTTGGCTCTCTCTGTGTGTTCGTGCCGTGAAAGGAGGGGTTTCTTCTTTATCTGAAAGCAATGGCTAGCTAGTATGCTAACTATTCTAGCTAACTAACTGGCTGAATAAGTTGACGTCGAACTCGCTCAAGCTGTCGGGACTAACCCACAACGTTAGACACGGACACTAATGATCTGCTTGGCGTGTTGACATACTGGTGGTTTGTTGTGGCCGAGTATTGGTGCTAAACCGTGTTGTTGGAGTCTGGCATGCTAGCTGGCTGTGGCGTCTTATGACTAGGTGTCCTGGAAGATTTTCACGGAAGAATACTGTACCAAGTTAGCTAGCTGAATAAACTAAGTTAGTCTATTCCTAGAAAACATTGAACCGCTGTAGTTTACAACAATTATAGTTTCTGAGGTGGAAGTTGGGTGTTGTGGTGAGGGAGGCCCCGCTCTCTCCTTTCCCAGATGTTTAGTTAATTTCATTCCGATCTCCTTTGCATTATTGTAGCCATTTTCTGTAGCCTGTCAACTATGCCTCTGTCTATCCCTGTTCTCTCCTCTCCGCACAGGCTATACAAACACCTCACACCGCGTGACTGCTGCCTCTCTAACCTGGTGGTCCCTGCACGCACCACCCACGTGGAGTTCCAGGTCTCAGGCAGCCTTTGGAACTGCCGTTCTGCTGCCAACAAGGCAGAGTTCATCTCAGCCTATGCTACCCTCCAGTCCCTCGACTTCTTGGCGCTGACGGAAACATGGATTACCACTGAAAACACTGCTACTCCTACTGCTCTCTCCTCGTCTGACCATGTGTTCTCGCATACCCCGAGAGCATCTGGTCAGCGGGGTGGTGGCACAGGAATCCTCATCTCTCCCAAGTGGACATTCTCTATTTTTCCCCTGACCCATCTGTCTATCTCCTCATTTGAATTCCATGCTGTCACAGTCACTAGCCCATTTAAGCTTAACATCCTTGTCATTTATCGCCCTCCAGGTTCCCTTGGAGAGTTCATCAATGAGCTTGACGTCTTGATAAGTTCCTTTCCTGAGGATGGCTCACCCCTCACAGTTCTGGGGGACTTCAACCTCCCTACGTCTACCTTTGACTCATTTCTCTCTGCCTCCTTCTTTCCACTCCTCTCCTCTTTTGACCTCACCCTCTCACCGTCCCCCCCTCCTCACAAGGCAGGCAATACGCTTGACCTCATCTTTACTAGATGCTGTTCTTCTACTAATCTCACTGCAACTCCCCTCCATGTCTCCGACCACTACTTTGTATCCTTTTCTCTCTCGCTCTCCTCCAACACTACTCACTCTGCCCCTACTCAGATGGTAATGCGCCGTCGCAACCTTCGCTCTCTCTCTCCCGCTACTCTCTCCTCTTCCATCCTATCATCTCTTCCCTCTGCTCAATCCTTCTCCCTCCAATCTCTTGATTCTGCATCCTCAACCCTCCTCTCCTCCCTTTCTGCATCATTTGACTCTCTATGTCCCCTATCCTCCCGGCCGGCTCGGTCCTCCCCTCCAGCTCCGTGGCTTGATGACTCATTGCGAGCTCACAGAACAGGGCTCCGGGCAGCCGAGCGGAAATGGAAGAAAACTAGACTCCCTGCGGACCTGGCATCTTTTCACTCCCTCCTCTCTACATTTTCTTCATCTGTTTCTGCTGCTAAAGCCACTTTCTACCACTCTAAATTACAAGCATCTGCCTCTAACCCTAGGAAGCTCTTTGCCACCTTCTCCTCCCTGCTGAATCCTCCTCCCCCTCCCCCCTCCTCCCTCTCTGTGGATGACTTCGTCAACCATTTTGAAAAGAAGGTTGACGACATCCGATCCTCGTTTGTTAAGTGAAATGACACTGCTGGTCCTGCTCACACTGCCCTACCCTATGCTTTGACTTATTTCTCCCCTCTCTCTCCAGATAAAATCTTGCGACTTGTGACGGCCGGCCGCCCAACAACCTGCCCGCTTGACCCTATCCCCTCCTCTCTTCTCCAGACCATCTCCGGTGACCTTCTCCCTTACCTCACCTCGCTCATCAACTCATCCTTGACCGCTGGCTAAGTCCCTTCCATCTTCAAGAGAGCGAGAGTTGCACCCCTTCTCAAAAAACCAACACTTGATCACCTCTGATGTCAACAACTACAGACCAGTATCCCTTCTTTCTTTTCTCTCCAAAACTCTTGAGTGTGCCGTCTTTAGCCAACTCTCTTGCTATCTCTCTCAGAATGACCTTCTTGATCCAAACCAGTCAGGTTTCAAGACTGGTCATTCAACTGAGACTGCTCTTCTCTGTGTCACGGAGGCTCTCCGCACTGCTAAAGCTAACTCTCTCTCCTCTGCTCTTGTCCTTCTAGACCTGTCTGCTGCCTTTGATACTGTGAACCATCAGATCCTCCTCTCCACCCTCTCCGAGCTGGGCATCTCCGGCGCGGCTCACTCTTGGATTGCGTCCTACCTGACCGGTCGCTCCTACCAAGTGGCGTGGCGAGAAGCTGTCTCCGCACCACGTGCTCTCACCACTGGTGTCCCCCAGGGCTCAGTTCTAGGCCCTCTCCTATTCTCGCTATACACCAAGTCACTTGGCTCTGTCATATCCTCACATGGCCTCTCCTATCATTGCTACGCAGACGACACACAACTAATCTTCTCCTTTCCCCCTTCTGATAACCAGGTGGCGAATCGCATCTCTGCATGTCTGGCAGACATATCAGTGTGGATGACGGATCACCACCTCAAGCTGAACCTTGGCAAGACGGAGCTGCTCTTCCTCCCGGGGAAGGACTGCCCGTTCCATGATCTCGCCATCACGGTAGACAACTCTGTTGTGTCCTCCTCCCAGAGTGCGAAGAACCTTGGCATGACCCTGGACAACACCCTGTCGTTCTCCGCTAACATCAAGGCGGTGACCCGATCCTGTAGGTTCATGCTCTACAACATTCGGAAAGTACGACCCTGCCTTACACAGGAAGCGGCACAGGTCCTAATCCAGGCACTTGTCATCTCCCGTCTGGATTACTGCAACTCGCTGTTGGCTGGGCTCCCTCCATTAAACCCCTACAACTCATCCAGAATGCCGCAGCCCGTCTGGTGTTCAACCTTCCCAAGTTCTCTCACGTCACCCCGCTCCTCCGCCCACTCCACTGGCTTCCAGTTGAAGCTCGCATCTGCTACAAGTCCATGGTGCTTGCCTACGGAGCTGTGAGGGGAACGGCACCTCCGTACCTTCAGGCTCTGATCAGTCCCTACACCCAAACTAGGGCATTGCGTTCATCCACCTCTGACCTGCTGGCACCCCTACCTCTGCGGAAGCACAGTTCCCGCTCAACCCAGTCAAAACTGTTCGCTGCTCTGGCACCCCAATGGTGGAACAAGCTCCCTCACGACGCCAGGACAGCGGAGTCACTCACCACCTTCCGGAGACACTTGAAACACCACCTCTTTAAGGAATACCTGGGATAGGATAAAGTAATCATTCTACCCATTCCCCCCCCCATTGTAAAGTGGTTATCCCACTGGCTATAAGGTGAATGCACCAATTTGTAAGTCGCTCTGGATAAGAGTGTCTGCTAAATGACGTAAATGCAGTAGGGTCTGTGATAATTTCTTCCAGTTAGTCATACACTAGGGAAAGGGGATACCTAGTCAGTTGCACAACTGAATGCATTCAACCAAAATGTGTGTTCCGCATTTAACTCAACCCCTCTGAATCAGAGAGGTGCGGGGGGCTGTCTTAATCAACATCGGCACTTGGGAGCAATTGTCGTTGGGGGTTATCTGCCTTGCTCAAGGGAAGAATGGCAGATTTTTCAACTTTACCAGCTCGAGGATTCGAACCAGTGACCCTTCGGTTACTAGCCCAACGCTCTTAACCGCTAGGCTACCTGCTGCCCTGGACTAAGTAGCTCATTTAGCTGTTCCCTCTTTAGTCTGTCAGCATAGGCAGCATGACAGTAAGTGTGTGTGGTTCCATGGGACAAAGATATCTGTATAGATGAGACACGTTTGATCAGAGCCTGGGTTTGAGAGATTCCAGGTATCCAAGCATGAGTATGAAACAAGGAGTACTAAAAGAGGGAAAATAAAATAAAAGAGAGGTAAAGCGACCAAGTCAAATTCCACCTCGTCTCGGAAAGAGAGATTAAACCGAAAGGAATCAAATGAAGATAGAAAAAAATGGTGGTCTATAAGTGAATTTTCCTCCAGGCAGAAATATTGAAAGAATGCTTTTGTGGGAAACTGTGGGAGCATTGCGTTCCAGAATACCTTTCAAAAATAGATTGAAGAAAAGTACAACTTCAAAAAGTTATGCTTCCCAAGAAAAGGCCAGAATCATATTTTCCACTTGCTTGTGTCTGTTCATACGCAGAAGACATGTCTCATAAAAACAATACAACGTTCCTTCAACGTTTCTAGAAAAGAGGCGAGAAGCACGCCAGACAGGGATGTCCCAAGTTGAAAGATTAACCATAACTATCATTTTCTTACAAAGGTTTCTTTGTCTGACACACAAATGAGGAATGGAGTAATAGAAAAATGGAAAAAGGTAAGTTGGCCAAGACTTTCATGGGGCGCAGCTTGAAATTCAATCTTCAGCAATTCGATGACAGTATTCCACTGGCCTGGCACATGGGAAGACACGTAACTGCAGAGTTATTTTCTGTCTCTCTCACTCTCTCTCGCTCTCTCGCTCTCCCTCACTCAATTGCACACACATGCACACACACACACACACACACACACACACACACACACACATACACACACATGCGTACACACTTATACAAACATAGACATACACAAATCGCTTGCGTTAATGCAGGCTCATTATTTCATAAGCTGGGAATGAATGATTGGCGTGGACGCTTGACGTTTTTTGGCTCCATAAACAAATAACAATGCGTATAACAGCAGAGAGATCCAGATCAGATGGACATCTGCCAAGGAGTTAGATTATAAATAATGGAAGCTCAGTTGTCACATCTGACAGATAATAATCTAGATGATTATCTGTCACTATACTATACATACACTATACTATACACTATACTATACAACTATACAAGACAGATAATCACTATACATGACAGATAATCACTATACATGACAGATATGCAGTTAGAGATGTTGGATAGAAGATCACAAATGAAAGAATGTCAGATCACCAGTAGTCCAGGAAATACACCCACACACAAGTCCATTCTGAGGCATTTGTTACTCACATGGTAGCTTGGGACATTTATAACATTTGTTTTGTCCCCAGGAGTTCCCGACACTTCCACAGCAGTCCTCCTGGTTGGTCAGTACAGGGAGAGGGGTACTGCTACACTGAAGCACATGGCGTGAGAAAGGGAAAGAAAGAGGGAAATGCACAAAATGGCGATTGAAAAACCATAACACATTTATTGTATGTAAAGTGACAATCACTGTGTCGATGGGGGGTGTAACTCACAGCTTGTTTGGGCGTGGTCTCCTGGAAGCACCGCCCCCTGGGTTTGTGTGTCTGAGGGGTCAAGCGTGTCACGGTTTTATGAGGGGGCTTCGAATCCGATTGGTCGAGAGGGTGGATGACAACGGATGTGTCGTGTGCATGGTGGACACGGACATTGAACTGCACTAAAAAGAGAGCGCGAGAGAGCGAGAGAGAGTAGCGGAGGGAAGAGAGATGCCAAGAAAGAGGAAGAGAAAAACACAAGGGAGATTACATTAATATGATTACAGTTCTGTATAATGTCACCCAAAACAAACTGCTACATGGTATTGATAAATACAGCAATATGACTGTGGTTTCAGTGCCCACAGTTTGCCATAATGGTTACCTTCTGATGAGTGATGTCCTGCTCCCTGTGCCAGGGGAAGGGTGAACACAGAGTGGGTCTGTGCCAGCTGTGGTCGCCCCATGGCCGCCTGCTCGCCCTGGCTCTGGCCGTCTGGCAGCACTGACAGCGTGTAGACGGGTTGCTTGTTGCCCCGCGCCGCCTGGGCCTCAGGCATCTGCCGGAGCGGGAACTGGCACAGGCGACCAGTGAAACCTGGCGGGCACAGGCAGTGGGTCCGCGAGCTGCACACCCCTCCATTCATACAGGTCAGTGGACACACAACTAAAGAGACAGGGAGAGAGAAAGAGGTGTTGTTACTAAATACAAAATAAAACACATCACCAAGACATTAGGAGAGGAAAAACATGTACACATGGCGAACATCATCAACATAACGTAATTGTTGTGCTTTTTTTCATTTGGAACATTATTTTAAACAGAGAGCAGTTGGGACTTTTACAATAGCAGGACCATAGCTCCAGTAGAAAATAAACATGTCATCCCCCACGAATGATGGAGCGCCCCCCTTGGGCCAATCAGTGTAATTTTGTAAATCCCGGATCTCTATGGCAAGACGCATCATTCCAGTAGAAAATAAACATGTCATCCCCCTTTTACATTACATTTTAGTCATTTAGCAGACGCTCTTATCCAGAGCGACTTACAGTTAGTGAGTGCATTCATTATTTATTTATTTTTCATACTGGCCCCCCGTGGGAATCGAACCCACAACCCTGGCGTTGCAAACGCCATGCTCTACCAACTGAGCTACATCCCTAAATCCATGAATGATGGAGCGCCCCCCTTGGGCCAATCAGTGTAATTTTGTAAATCCTGGATCTCTATGGCAAGAAGCATCATTCACCCAAGTTTCGTCAAAATCAGACCAGTGAGGGCGATGCACAATTGGCCCAGCGTCGTCCAGGTTCGGGGAGGGTTTGGCGGGGGGGTTTTACTTGGCTCATCGCCCTCTAGCGGCTCCTTGTGGTGGGCCAGGCGCCTGCAGGCTGACTTCGGTCGTCAGTTGGACAGCGCTTCCTCTGACACATTGGTGTGGCTGGCTTCTGGGTTAAGCGGGCGGGTGTTAAGAAGTGCGGATTGGTGGGTCATGTTTCGGAGGACGCATGACTCGACCTTTGCTTCTCCCGAGCCCGTTGGGGAGTTGCAGCGATGAGACAAGATCGTAATTGGATATCATGAAATTGGGCCAGTGGTGTCTGAGATATTGCGTATAACTAACGTATGTACAGTTGATTACTATAGCACCTCCCTTGGGCCAATCAGTGTAATTTTCTAAATGAAGGATTTTTATGGCAAGACGCATCATTCACACATCATTTTCATCCAAATCGGGCCAGTGGTGTCTGAGATATCCCTGAGCATGTGTGCCAAATCTCAGCACTGTGCGTCAAACAGATCAAGAGATATAAACATGTGCCCATTATAATGCCACTGTGTGGTCGATATGAATGTTCTTGCATTTGTTGAGTTGTGATAGTGTTTGCAACATGTGTACCAAATGTTGTTACAATACGAATATCCTCGACTGATTTATATGCATTTATGTGCCAGACCACGCCCACTTGAATGTTTATTGGTCAATAGTGGTTGACCACGACTGTACAGCTTAAAAACACTTGCAACACTTAATTCTTATGAAGCTACTATTTGTAACTTGAAGCAGTATACTATTACTTCTATGCTGCAACTATTCTGTATAGCAACTAGGGGAATGGACTGAACATGATCCTTTACTATCTAATTACAATAACCTTTACCAGATTTCATACATTTCATTCTGATTGCAATCAAAACTTTTGTCATCAGCAGGTAGTAGAATATTAACCTCTGGAAGCTGGATCAACACCTCTGGGGCGCCTTCCCTCTAAACCAGTACTGATAGGAATGTACTGTGGTGGTGGCATAATGCATGACAGGAGAGGACTCACATTTCGCTGATCAATGTAAGCTGTTAATGAATCTAATCAGAGGGATGTTTGATGAGATCTATGGGGACTTCAGCATTACAGGTTGACCTGTCATGCTTTAATGTCTTCAAATGGCAGCAGTTACATTAGACTGCTTCCTCAGATATGAAATTCTGTGATATTTTGCCCCAGAGCAGTAACGGTCTGATATTCAGACCACTAGTTCCATCACTGAGGACGTCTGTGTGGGTGCATGTGTGTGTGTGTTGTTTCTCTGCTACGTGGATATTCCAAAGATCTTGACAATAGTTACAGTGGGGAGAACAAGTATTTGATACACTGCCGATTTTGCAGGTTTTCCTACTTACAAAGCATGTAGAGGTCTGTAATTTTTATCATAGGTACACTTCAACTGTGAAAAAAATCCAGAAAATCACATTGTATGATTTTAAGTAATTAATTTGCATTTTATGCATTACATAAGTATTTGATCACCTACCAACCAGTAAGAATTCCGGCTCTCACAGACCTGTTAGTTTTTCTTTAAGAAGCCCTCCTGTTCTCCACTCATTAACTGTATTAACTGCACCTGTTTGAACTCGTTACCTGTATAAAAGACACCTGTCCACACACTCAATCAAACAGACTCCAACCTCTCCACAATGGCCAAGACCAGAGAGCTGTGTAAGGACATCAGGGATACAATTGTAGACCTGCACAAGGCTGGGATGTGCTACAGGACAATAGGCAAGCATTTTGGTGAGAAGGCAACAACTGTTGGCGCAATTATTAGAAAATGGAAGAAGTTCAAGATGACGGTCAATCACCCTCGGTCTGGGGCTCCATGCAAGATCTCACCTCGTGGGGCATCAATGATCATGAGGAAGGTTTGGGATCAGCCCAGAACTACACGGCAGGACCTGGTCAATGACCTGAAGAGAGCTGGGACCACAGTCTCAAAGAAAACCATTAGTAACACACTACGCCGTCATGGATTAAAATCCTGCAGCGCACGCAAGGTCCCCCTACTCAAGCCAGCGCATGTCCAGGCCCGTCTGAAGTTTGCCAATGACCATCTGGATGATCCAGAGGAGGAATGGGAGAAGGTCATGTGGTCTGATGAGACAAAAATAGAGCTTTTTGGTCTAAACTCCACTCGCCGTGTTTGGAGGAAGAAGAAGGATGAGTACAACCCCAAGAACACCATCCCAACCGTGAAGCATGGAGGTGGAAACATCATTCTTTGGGGATGCTTTTCTGCAAAGGGGACAGGACGACTGCACCGTATTGAGGGGAGGATGGATGGGGCCATGTATCGCGAGATCTTGGCCATCAACCTCCTTCCCTCAGTAAGAGCATTGAAGATGGGTCGTGGCTGGGTCTTCCAGCATGACAACGACCCGAAACACACAGCCAGGGCAACTAAGGAGTGGCTCCGTAAGAAGCATCTCAAGGTCCTGGAGTGGCCTAGCCAGTCCCCAGACCTGAACCCAATAGAAAATCTTTGGAGGGAGCTGAAAGTCCGTATTGCCCAGCGACAGCCCCGAAACCTGAAGGATCTGGAGAAGGTCTGTATGGAGGAGTGGGCCAAAATCCATGCTGCAGTGTGTGCAAACCTGGTCAAGACCTACAGGAAACGTATGATCTCTGTAATTGCAAACAAAGGTTTCTGTACCAAATATTAAGTTCTGCTTTTCTGATGTATCAAATACTTATGTCATGCAATAAAATGCAAATTAATTACTTAAAAATCATACAATGTGATTTTCTGGATTTTTATTTTAGATTCCGTCTCTCACAGTTGAAGTGTACCTATGATAAAAATTACAGACCTCTACATGCTTTGTAAGTAGGAAAACCTGCAAAATCGGCAGTGTATCAAATACTTGTTCTCCCCACTGTATATAACAGTGTAGCTGTGTTAATTTACATACAAATGTAATTCCCATTACCATTGTCCGGCCACCCCATCTCACATGTCACTGTAGGCAATGTGTGGCCTGTGCTCAGCTGCTCCATTCCATGTGCATGGCCCTGGGTATGGTCTGTCTATGAAATGTCTGCAGTCAGTCAGTGTTGTTATTGTATTCTGTGATGTGTGGGTTGAAACCGCTTGCATGATCTGTTTCCTCTGTCTTTATTTAGCTGTCCAGGCAGCTGAATGTGTCCAAAGGAAGGGTTGGCAGTTCACAAGATCCTAGCCTTCCCTCGGCACTCCCGTTGAGGGGAGTCTGCAGTTACCATAGATACCACAGTCCGTGTCTAGCAACCTTCCTCTCTGTATGGCTTAGAGAATAATCGCAATTAGAAAGGATTTGTTTAAATTTAAACTAGCCTCTGAAGGGTTTACCGGTAATGCCCATTTTCAGATATTTAGATACCTCTACCTTGTTCTTTTAGGTACTACTCTGGAAAATATTGCGTTGAGAGAGCTTTCTCCATAGATGCCACGTATCAAGTTTCGTGCAGATTGGTCATTCGATGCCAGAAGAGTAGCGTTTTAAGTGTTTTTCATATAATTCAAAATGGCAGAAGATCCATCATGGCAGACCTTATGGGTCCCTGAGGCAAATTTGGTCCTTGTGAGAAGAGGGACGTATGTACCGAATTTCATGACTTTAGGTCAAATGGAGTGAAGGGCATGACCTTTCAACATTTGCATTTTCAATCTCTTGCTATAGCACCACCATCTGGCCAATCAGTGTAATTTTGTAAATACCGGACCTCTATGGCAAGACACATCATCCACCCAAGTTTCGTAAAAATTGGGCCAGTGCTGTCTGAGATATTGTATGTGACTACCGTACAAATGTACTAATGGACAGAGACAGATCCACAGTATTCCCCCCCCCCCCCCCCCCAGATTTCCTCGTGGGGAACAACAACACCCTGATGTCAGGAGTTTCCAGTATTAGTCACCCCCACAAGGTCACTTTGGATTTCAGGACTAAATGACACAGTCAAATCACATCAGCTCCACGTACAAACAAGCTGCCTCAGCCAATCAGCAGCAGGGGGTGGGGGTGGGGCTGGCTGTGGATGAGAGCAGGCCAGAGCAGAACACTGATAGGAATGACGTCTTTTTACTGGGATTTGGAAAAGATTTGAAACCACAGGAGCTCTGCTTAAAGAAAAAGCTTCATGCCATATATGCCGTTCTGTAGGTTTCCCTTCGTGTTTACTTTTATGGTAGCTAGTTTTCTCCCTAAAAAGGAGAATCAGATGAAATAGTGGGAGCCGAGATCTGGGAGCTAGGAGTACATACCAGACTGAGACGTTCAGCAATAATAATGGAATCATAACTTAATTCAAGATATGCTGTGTTAAGATATGCTGCAATACATGCTGTAATAACACACATAGTTCAATAGACATACAACATAAAATGTTGAAACTTTTAATCAACGACTAAATGTTGTAGTCTCTCTCTGTCCCATAATGTGGCCATGAAATAAAGCAGAAGTTGAAGCTCAGTGGTTTGGATGTCTTTCCCTGCAGTCTAGCATAACAGTATCACAGACCTGCAGCAGTGTGAGTCCCTGGGCAGGAAGAGAGAGAGAGAGAGAGAGAGAGATAGAGAGAGTGGCGACTCAGCACCTCTGACTGACACAGAGACCCACCCAGTGGTTGAGATGAGGCCTCTTCGTGTTACCCGCCCCGCAGAGTAGAGCTCCACACACTGAAGCAATTAGGCCTGGACTGCCTCGGAGTCTAGGCCGCTGTGTAATGACGGGACTAGATCACCTCAAACACAGCAGGGACATCTTTAAACCAATGAAAGTCAAGGAAAAGAGCAACTGGAGAAATCACAGCCATAATGAAATTACATGAGGCTGTGCAGCTTATGTTTAAATGTGTAGTGGGATAGGCTGGGTTGTTCTGACGCAGCCTGCACTGCCTGCACCATAATTAAACTTGACAGTGGTCTTTAACCATACACCCAAAACAGGCAGCTACACGCAGCAGCAGGTTAATGGGGAGGCTCACAGATAGCAGGGGAAAACCTGGAGAGTAAGTCCAGCTGGAGAAGGACTTCCCTTCCCCACGCACAGCTCTCCAGACATCTATTGTGTGTCTGATTACTTTTTGTCTCAGTAGAGAAAGCTGGAAAGACGGAGAGAGAAAGCGGAGAAAGCTGTTGGGAATGGAGAATTGGGAAGAGAACAGAGAAAGAGACGGAGAAAGAAAGACAGGGGCGTAGCCTCCTTCCAAACCCGATTATACAACTTCAACCCACAGAGACCGGAGAGACAACATAGGAAAAGTCTGGTAAGGCTTGGGGAGAGGGCCCGTCTGGCAGAGAAGCTGTCTAAGAGAGAGCAGAGTAGACCCTCTGACGGGGTACTGGAGCTCACAGCAGTCACACAGGCACACATGCACACACACACACACACAAACTCCATGGCCAACAACTCCATGACCAACAACAGGAAGGGGTTCTATGAAAAAAAAATTACACAGCCTTTAGGTAATGTTACTCAAAATTATACCTTTGTCTCCATGAAAATATTGCACACATACCTTGAAGCAGACTGTACATAAGCTGTGGTTAAAATAAAATCTGGTGAATGAGCCTTTCTTTTGATGTTTGGAACTAACCCCAGCATGGGGCTTCACAACAGAGACTACATCACATTGCTGTCTGCCATCTCTAGCACACCTCTTGCTGTGTGCTTGTATTTAGAATGTTAATCCCTTCCCCACAGATTAGCTAGTTGTGTGGCGTACTGGTGCTTAGCATGACAGGCTAACCACATATCTTATGAGGTAGAGAGGGTGGACCTCCAAGTCCACTAATCAGACTACACCACACTGACTGGACCAGGAGGCCAGGTCTCAGACTGGTTTCTCACAGTAAATAGGAGGGATTTAAACTAGACTCTCCTCCACATCTGCTTCCTCTATCTAAACCCAGTACAGGGCAGCTTAAGAGACCTGGGTATAATGCACATGGACTAATACTTTCTGCAGACTGTGTCTGAGTGAGTGAAATTATCGTGGGACTGTTATGATCCAGTCATGATAATATGTGTTCCACTGCATCCTTGAATTATGAAACCCAACTTGGCACACAAAGTCTGCAGATGGGAAATTCTCCCACTCTATTGAGTGGGTAGCAGGCAGTCAGAATGGCCTAGAATAGATCATCTGAAACACTAAAGCCACCGAGCTATAGGATCACTCCAACAAATGCTTGGTGCTATCTAGGCTATATTATACAGTGCTATATATTATAAAGCACTTCTATGAAACCCATGATACCAATATGGATATAAATTCTCAGTCACCACCATTAATACTGAGGTCCAAATCCTCAGGGAATGTTTTTTTTTATTTTGCTCACATCTCACTTTCACATTATCCCATTTTATTGGCATGTCTTCGGATATAGATTTCATACTCAAAATTGGGTCACATGTGTTCCAAACCGTAGTCAAAGGGGAAATCTTTTTTCCTATCCAGCATGTGCTGGAAGCAAAAGAGAGAAAAGAGAGGGGGAGAGAAGGAGGAAGAAAGGAACAAATGCTTTAAAGCTCTTCTCGTGTTTTATGTGAGAGCTCCTTCCTCATAATGCCATGATTTAGACCAGTGGTATTTAAAATCGGGGTAACTGCGGTGGGGTCTCCAAAATTGTTTTTGATATACATTGCATTCGTAAAGTTTTCAGACCCCTTCCCTCTTTCCACATTTTTTATGTTACAGCCTTATTCTAACATGGATTAAATAAATGTCCTCATCAATATACACACAATACCCCATAATGACAAAGCGAAAACAGGTTTTTAGAAACATTTTCAAATGTATTAAAAATAAAAAACAGAAATACCTTATAACTATTCAGACCCTTTGCTATGACACTCGAAATTGAGCTCAGGTGCATCCTGTTTCCATTGATCATCCTTGAGATGTTTCTACAACTTGATTGGAGTCCACCTGTGGTAAATTCAATTGATTGGACATGATTTGGAAAGGCACACACCTGTCTATATAAGGTCCCACAGTTGACAGTGCATGTCAGAGCAAAAACCAAGCCATGAGGACGAAGGAATTGTCCGTAGAGCTCCAAGACAGGATTGTGTCCAGGCACAGATCTGGGGAAGGGTACCAAAACATTTCTGCAGCATTGAAGGTCCCCAAGAACACAGTGGCCTCCATCATTAAATGGAAGAAGTTTGGAACCACCAAGACTCTACCTAGAGCTGGCCGCTCGGCCAAAATGAGCAATCGGGGGAAAAGGGCCTTGGTCAGGGAGGTGACCAAGAACCCGATGGTCACTCTGACAGAGCTCCAGAGTTCCTCTGTGGAGATGGGAGAACCATCCAGAAGGACAACCATCTCTGCAGCACTCCACCAATCAGGCCTTTATGGTAGAGTGGCCAGACGGAAGCCACTCCTCAGTAAAAGGCACATGACAGCCGGCTTGGAGTTTGCCAAAAGGCACCTAACGACTCTCAGACCATGAGAAACAAGATTATTTGGTCTGATGAAAGCAAGATTAAACTCTTTGGCCTGAATGCCAAGTGACACGTCTGGAGGAAACCTGACACCATCCCTACGGTGAAGCATGGTGGTGGCAGCATCATGCTGTGGGGAAGTTTTTCAGCGGCAGGGACTGGGAGACTAGTCAGGATCGAGGGAAAGATGAACGGAGCATAGTACAGAGAGATCCTTGATGAAAAACTGCTCCAGAGCGCTCAGGACCTCAGACTGGGGCGAAGGTTCACCTTCCAACAGGACAACGACCCTAAGCACACAGCCAAGACAACGCAGGAGTGGCTTCGGGACAAGTCTCTGAATGTCCTTGAGTGGCCCAGCCAGAGCCCGGACTTGAACCCGATCAAACATCTCTGGAGAGACCTGAAAATAGCTGTGCAGGGACGCTCCCCATCCAACCATACAGCTTGAGAGGATCTGCAGAGAAGAATGGGAGAAACTCCCCAAATACAGGTGTGCCAAGCTTGTAGCGTCATACCCAAGAAGACTTGAGGCTGTAATCGCTGGCAACGGTGCTTCAACAAAGTACTGAGTAAATGGTTTGAATACTTTATACATTTTCAAACATTTCTAAGAATCTGTTTGTGCTTTGTCATTTTGGGGTATTGCGTGTAGATTGATGAGGGGAAAAAAATATTTAATCCTTTTAGAATAAGGCTGGAACATAATAACATTTGGAAAAAGTAAAGGGGTCTGAATACTTTCCAATGCACTATGTTTATGTATACACACTTTTTTTCTTTTTTGTGGGTGGGAACAGAAAATTAAGAGTACAGATTATTATATGGGACAATATACAAACATTTTTGAAAAATATAATTTGAAAATACAATTTTATTGAGTAAATGTATTTATTGGTTTCTTTTCATTTTGATAAGAGATGAAAATGCAATGAATTTAAGGTTATTTGTAGATGTAAAAATCTAAATGTACCGAAATGGGGTCTGAATACCACTGATTTAGACTGAAACCGACAGTGTGTAGGGGATAGACAGGCCAATTGAGGCACTACAAAAAAATAAAGGGAGAGAAAGAAAGGGATATGTAGAGAAAAAGAGAGAGTGGGGAGGCAAGAGAGAGCGTGAGAGAGAAGGAGAGAGGGAGGAGTGGAAAGAGGGGGAAAGTGTGTAAGAAAGAGAGAGAGAAAGAAAGAAGTAGAATAGAGAAAGTGCAATGGAAAAAACATCAGAGGGATCCAAATGAATCTGCACTTTTTTCTCCAAATGCAGAGGGACTTTTTCAAAAATACATACCTGTCATTCTTCAACTGTAGCGTGAGCAAGATGAGACAACTATACAGTGTGCTTTACACACACTGACACACTACCACAGATTTGGCACACTAACATAGAGCTATACGTACTATGCTGTACATATACAGAAACTCTGACACACCAACACACACACTTTGGAATGTTTAATTATGTTATTATTTCAGACCAACTACTGGCTGCTGGGTTTTTCATTACAACCAACCACGTTTGAGAGCGACAGGGTGGAAGAGTTTTAGCCAAGGATAATATTTCAACAATAGGCCTTACAAACTCAAGTCTTGAGCAATGATCTGACCCATTTCCAATGCCAAACCTGGACTCACGTTTCTACACTCCAGATTGAACAAGGACCATTCTATTTCCTCTTCAGGGATCCAAAGCCCCAGGAGCAACAATAGGTTCAACTAAGTCCCCATTCAAATCAAACCTAGCTGAAGAGATAAAACTCAGAGCTCTCTAATATCACTACATCACAGTTCATACAGCACATCTAAAACCAGCAAGACTCATACTTCCCTCAGACCTCAACAGTATCTTTAGTAGGGGGGATCTCCTGCCTGTCTGTACACTGTGTGCAGAGGGAGGTGGGGGAGGTGTGTGTGTGTGTGTGTGTGTGTGTGTGTGTGTGTGTGTGTGTGTGTGTGTGTGTGTGTAAGGGGCGCCCTCTGCATGCCCCTGGGGTTTTGCTCTGACTGTGGCCACCCACCCACTTCTGTCTGTCTAGAGATGACGCAGCAGCAGCCTGGTTACCTCCCCCTACAGCTTCCCATCCAACCACAGCCTCTCCCTCCCAACTCAAATATTCCCAGCTCTAAATGATCAAATGATAGTTTAACGTTCCAGTTCAACAGTTAGTCTACGTACAGTGAGCTGTTCATCTGATATCTTACATTTCTTAGAAGATCATCCTGAATATGTCAGTGGGTCAGTGAAGGCTGGCCAGCTTCTCATGGCTAAACAAATATTCATCATCATTTAAAGTGATCATGAGATTATGATTATATGCCTTAAAAAGTATGGTGTTATAGAGGAGGGAGTATTTGCCAAAACATCAGAAAATGATAATACGTTTATTTTTTAGTATATTATTACAGTATTATACTAGTATTACATACAGTATTATACTAGTATTACAGTATTGTACTAGTATTACAGTTTTATACTAGGAGTAACAGAGAAAACAGATGATTAGAGGATTACATATTATGGGTCACTAGCAATCAATGTATGATTCATTAATGCCAGTAAGCTACACAACCACGTCAAATCAATCAATTTTCATGTCTTCATTCCCACTATAAATACCATCAAAAGGACAACGACAAAAACAACATTACACCACAATAACAATCACCACCACTACCACTACTACCACTATTAAAAGGGCATTATTACAATAATGGGAGGCACAACATCTTATGACGCTCTTGCCTTCACGGTCAGTAGAAAAGCAAGAAACCACATCCCCAAATATGCCTGCTTTAAACTGGCATTGTGAGACCGCATACCACATCCACAGAGTGGACTATGGACTGGGCCAGACTTCTGTAGCTGAGCCCATAGCCCAGGGTAAATGACATAATCACTGGCTTTTTAAAAACACAGGCCTGAGAAAGTCTCCTCCGCTTCCTCCTGCCGACTAGCAGGCCGCCTGGGAGTAACGGCCTCTGTTTACTGAATGGGCTCTAGATACCCATATTGTACCCATGCATCCCCTCAATCCCCGCATCCACCCCAGATCGCTTGGCAAGGAGGGCTGCAGCCCTTAGCTATCCAAACAGTGCCTGTTCCAATGCTCAACACATATAGAACATTTGAGTCACTAAATGATTGCTGTCTTTAACAGTCTACTGGCACAAAATTATCTAGCAGAAATCTTTCATGAATAAGACCACCCTCGCTGGGTTTGATCAACTTTCATTTTTGTCCACTTTCATTAACCCCACCCCTTTTTTAAAGCAGTATTATCTAGAACACATTTTTATTTAAAAATAAACAATATTTACATTTTAGTCATTTAGCAGACATTCTTATCCAGAGCGACTTACAGTTAGTGAGTGCATACATTTTTCATACTGGCCTCCCGTGGGAATCGAACCCACAACCCTAGAGTTGCAAGCGTCATGCTCTACCAACTGAGCTACAGGGGACTACTAGGCAGATAATTTCTAACATTACATATCATTACCATTAATCTGGTGTGAGACTATGATACTGCACTGTCTGTCTGTCTGATTATGTATAATTGCCCAAACCCATCACTCCAATCCCTGATTACTCAATGGGCATATTATGACATGTCATGGAGGTATGTGAGGTTGTTTCTATGGCCAAGAGGTAGGCATGAACCCAGTGTAACCTGGCAGCCCCCTGCTCCAGCGCAATTTAACGTCTGTGGAGAGAGAGAGGGAGACAGAATGTTGGCACCAACTCTGGGTAAGTGATGTCATGTAATCACTGGTCTAATCCACCGTTTTTCTGTATAACAACAGACCAGGTAGAGAGAGGAATGCTGACGGTGCACCCAGCAGAGCTGATGTGAGATATCTGCCCAGGCCCGATGGCGGTGCGGTGGCACACCCTCAGGGGAGCTGTAGTGGTTCAGGCTAGGGTGTCTTAGGGCCTTCTCCCCCTGTCCTGGCAGCAGCACTGTTATTCTGTATTTACCCTGGCTAATGGCTGTGCAGCTCCAGAGGTCTGGCGGGGGTGCAGTTACACAGTCTCACAGTGCTCACATTCCACTGGCCAGCTTTAAATAACTGCTCCCTTTCTCCCCCACGCTAAGCAAATGGGAGGAAAGCGTGTTAAACATGGCAAGCCGGGGTGTTTTTTGAGCTAGCTCCTCCTATATTAGCTTCAAATGCGAGACAGCCTTCTCCCTGACACACACACTGTGTTCCCTCATCCCTTTCAAAATTGACCTCTAATTGGTGTTTTGTTTTTGGAGCTTCAGCAGCCAAAAACAATTTGCCTCGCACTGTTTTTTTTTCTCAACCTGCACCGAAGTGTTGACTTGAATAGAGCCAGTGACAGGACAGGAATAGCCCTGAGAGGAGGAATCTGATTCCATGAAAAATCCCAGTTAAGATCCCCAAATACTGGACTGTAGAGCTACATCGCTTGTGACCTTAAATAACCGGAGATATTTGCCCTCCATACGAGAGCAGCCTAAACCATGCACGCATAAACATTAAAACACAGCCTTGAGGGAAGGCTGATGACATGGCATCAAATACACACACACGCACACAAACAAAGTTCGTAAATGGCTGTGTGAATCCCCCTCTCTATGGCCATGGGAGAGACTGACAGAGAGTGTGTGTGTGAGCGAAGCCCTGCTTAGCCTCACCTCTGGGCAAGGCCTGCGGCACACTGTGGAGTGGTGCAGGTTTCTGGGTTGCCCATGTTTACTACAGCACCCATAACTTGGCATCAGAGGAGGAAGTGAGTGAGTGTGGGGAAGTGCTCTCAGAGGGAAACTCAAGTGTGTCTCTAAACAGGGACAGCTAGCCTTGGGCAGCTCCAGCTCGGCTTGTTTTGCTGACTTCTGTTTTACCTTTCATTCTCCTCTGACCCGTACCTGTGACCCATACCTCTGACCCATACCTCTGATCCATACCCAGGGAAAACCCAAATAAATCACTGCAATAAAATGTGGGACAGCTGAGCCTTCAGAATGAAATGGATGACTGGGTTTGAATGACCCATTAAACTCATATTTTGTGCATGACCACATTGGCTTTTAACATTCTCACATGACCTCCATCCTGAGTCACGGATAGAGAGACATGAGCCAGAGGTACTGCAGTAGGATGGAGGGAGAAGTCCATCAGGAACTGAATACAGGGGGAGTGACATAGGACATTCTAGAGAGACAGAAGTCAGCTCAGCCTCAACAGTAAGGATGGGACTCTTGTTGTGATTGCGCTGAATGAGACAGCGGGTTTAGTTTAGGATACAGACAGATACAGAGAGAGAGTGACTGAGAAGCAGAGGCAGGTCCAGAAGAGGTGGAGAGCAGCTGCTGCCAGTCTGCTGAGGTTGATGGGTGGAATGCCTGTGCGGTAGCAACCTTTAAAGAGAAGAAAGGCTGCGTCCTCCGTCCCTCACCCAAACAGAGCTGTGTGCAGTAAAACTGGGGGAACAGGCTCAGAACTACTGTGGGTAAATACTGTAGGGAGGGTGGGGGTGGGAGGAATGTCTATCAAGATTCCCATTCCCAGTCTCTTAAGTCATACATCCAGAGTGCTGCTTCAGTCTGACCTGCACAACCCAGCTCAACCTCTATGACCATGTGGAGGAGACATAACACAGAACAATGCCTGCCTGATTCAAAGATCAACCGCCGACTGACTCTTTTCATCTATAGAACCTGCCGGAAACTAAACGTATAACAGTATCTCAACATACAGCATATGCCATCTCTGATATGAATCTAGGATTTATCTTTCATACGTAATTTGAGTATGACAAGAGATAATGCTGAGAAATAGAAGCCTACGTTTATTTAGCTACTTCCTTACTTATACTCTGGCAACTCTGCCATTCTAGTTTATTTTCCCATACTACAGCATGTATATCCAGAGGCCTCATCCAGTGCAGACAGGAGTCTGTGTGGCCTAGCTGTCTCTCAGCTGATTTATCCCTGGAACAGTAAGCGTAGCAGTAACAGCAAAAGTAGCAGTAACAGTAGCAGTAGTTAATCCCTCTTTAACCCTGCTGGATTCCCCACACTGTCTGTCTGAGGGCTGGGGTGGGAGCCAGTCCTGCTTTACCAGGGATAGATACATAGACTCCACAGAACGGAATGAAGACGTCCTGGTGATTCTATTTCTATGCATCAATCCTCCACTTAAGGAGGAACGTCCAGTCTCACTTCAGATCACCTGGTGATGAGAGAAGACTGACCAAACCACTAGAATTCCTGAACATTATATATTAGGGTGCTTGTGCCATACACTTCAGACAGTAGCATAAGAGAAGGATTAAGGGAATGAGCACAGAATGAACATGGAAAAGGGTTGCTTATTTATGTCATTTCACTGTTGAGTTGATTGGTTGAGTCAATTCTCATTTACCAGAGAATTGTAGAAAAAATGTAATCCTGCTTCAAAATATCTGTTTATGTTACTTGAACCATGTCAGAATCTGTTCAAGTAGATACTATTACAAATCTTTAACTGAACTAAAAAAATCCAGGATGGAAATGTACCTACTGTAATATATAGCAATAGCTACGTAATAGCCGTGAGGCCAACCTGGCAAAACCGCTGAAGCCCAGTAGATTTCGCTGAAACTCACTAAGCCTTATTTATTAATTTTCTCATAATATCCTACAACAGCTTTAACAACATTGTTCTTGTGAAGACTTTAAGACAGGAAATCTTGAATCATTAGGCAGAAAATTAATGCATTTGGAAGTGAATTGCTTCACGGCAAGGTTCTGGCAGGTCTGCTCAGTCTAGGTCTCAGCCTTGCTGTGGTGCTGACGTCACAGCCACTCATATTATGGAAAAGTGTTCATATTGTTGTCGTTGACCGCGGCCATTTTAACATGCTAGAGAGAAAATTCCACATGTCCATAGAGTACACTGTCCACACACACTTCTGGTTTGCCAAAAGCTGACACTGGCTCAAGTTGCACTCTGTAGCCCCTGCCAGACAAACCCAAACAACTGCACAAAAGCCTGGTTAAATGCAGCTTACAGTACCCGTACAATACCAGACACAGGGCCGATTGTACACTAGTTTGATTCTCCAGACCAAATGTTCAGATTACACAAAATTAACAATTCTGTGTTGCACTGTAATTACAACTGGAGTATGTAAGGAGGGCCATTCTGATGGTTTTGTGATGAAAGGGTGAGCATGTTCATTCACAGTGCAGAGAAAGAGAGTTTATTATGACAAAAATGCATTAGGAATATGCTGTAGTTCTGTAATGAAGTGCTGGTGCAAGAAAAAGCGTAGGAACTTCACATTTCACAAGAAGTCCTAAAACAAAATCTGTACGACAACATTATGACAGGGTAAACTGGCATTACAGTCATTAGGTGTTCAAGAAAAATCTAAACATTGGGAAAATGTGGGTAAATGTATAGGAAATGTGTGGGCCTAAGTGAATGTGAATGTTGCTCAAACTCCCTTGACCACAGAGCCCCACAGCCGACACTTTAAGGGCGGCCTCTGCATGCATTTCCATAAATGTAGCTTTCACAGTGACTGAATCAGTTTCCTCATTTATTTTTACTACTGCAGTTTATTTTGGGGTCTTGTTCACATTCTAAAGCAAATCTTAGTCTGCCTTAATTAGGGGTTTGAGGGAAAATCAAGTCACACTAAAATAACCCTGGGCCTCACACAGATCAACAAAGAAATGGACACCGCCTCATCACAACTAATGAAAAAGCTGAGCAAGTAATAACAGTTCTCTATCTAAACAGAGGCAATATTGTTGATATATATTTTTTTACCAGTATTGTGTTTTAAAAGCACCCTTGCTAGTTTACATTTTAATTATCTACTGTGATGGATCACAGGCTAGCAGCAGTTGTCAGACCCAATAAACACACTGAGTGTACAAAACAAAGGGGATCACCTTCCTAATTTTGAGTTGCACCCCTTTTGCCCTCAGAACAGCCTCAATTAGTCAGGGCATGGACAACAAGGTGTCGAAAGCGTTCCACATGGATGCTGGCCCATGTTGACTCCAATGCTTTCCACAATTGTGTCAAGTTGGCTGGATGTCCTTTGGGTGGTGGACCATTTTTGATACACATGGGAAATTGTTGAGTGTGAAAAATCCAGCAGCGTTGCGGTTCTTGACACACTCAAACCGGTGCACCTGGCACCTACTACCATACCCTGTTCAAAGGAACGATCAAACAGGGAAATGGTTCCAATCGTTTTTCCACCATTTATTTTTCCAATAGGGGATTTTATGTAGGTTTACCCTGGCATGACGTTTTGATAACCGTGTAAATCTCTCTCGGACAAGGTGACTTTTATCAATATATTCACCTGTATTCACCCCCAACAAATGAAATGCTAATTAGCTGCTAATGTGGCTATCATAAAGCACTATAAATGGCATGATGATATGGACGTGACTGCCAAATTGAGGCAAAGGTAAGAATCTCTGGATTAACTATCTAATGTTAGCTAAATGTAGTAATGAATAAATTGGCTACATTTCTTTAATTGTACCTGTTAGCAAAGGTGCCAGGTAGAGCTGACGTGCAGGAGCTTGCAGGGATTTGTAGTCTTGCATGATGTCTACTTTGATGCTAATTAGCATTTTCGAATCTGAGCGTAAATAGAGCCGAATATATATTGCTAAAAGTCACCTTGTCCAAGAGAGATTTACATGGTTATCAAAACGTTATGCCAGGGTAAGCCTACACGAAACACAGCCCTTATTTTAAGTGTTTCTAAAAGTCCCTATGGGAAAAATGAATGGAACCATTTCCCTGTTGGACCGCTAGGTTTTATGGGTATTATGACACCTCCACTGTGGGGTTCTATTGTCTCAAGGCTTAAAAATCCTTATTTAAACTGTCTCCTCCCCTTCATCTACACTGATTGAAGTGGATTTAACAGCTGACATCAAGAGCGTCTGCTAAATGACTAAAATGTAAAATGTAATAAGGGATCATAGCTTTCACCTGGTCAGTCTATGTCATGGAAAGAGCAGGTGTTCCTAATGTTTTGTAAACTCAGTGTATTTATTGTGTCTGACAACTGCTGCTAGCCTGTGATCCATCACAGTAGATAATTCAAATTTAAACTGGCAAGGGTGCTTTTAAAACACAATACTGGTAAAATTGTTATCATTGTGAGAGTGTGTTGATTGAATGGTTGCTGGTCGCAGCTATATACTGGGCAGTGGGAGAGGGAACAGTAAACTCTAGCAGATTAAACTCAACTTTCATTCCCATGGGGGGCCAGTATGAAAAAAATGTATGCACTCACTAACTGTAAGTCGCTCTGGATAAGAGCGTCTGCTAAATGACTAAAATGTAAAGTGATGTTGGAGCTCCAGTCCGCCCACACTAGTCGTAAATCGTGGAGTTGAGTTTAGTCAGCTAAGTCAACTCCAGTGTAGGCTCCAGAATGTAAACTGGTATAGGCCCTGGAGCCTTGGTTTACCACAGTTTATCTGACTTCTGTGCAGAAAGATTCAACTCATGCCAGCCAGACAATGTGGACAAGAGATTAGAGAAGGGGGAAAATCCGAAATATGCCAAATGTCTTAGCAATGCAATGGTAATAGCCAAATTGACACGGAGATGTTTATTTTGATTCTGATGATTAAGGCCTAGGGGCCTATGTGTATTTTCTTCCCTACTAGGACTGATATTGTTCAGAGATTAGTGTTTAAAAAACAGCATAATAAGGCCTGTGTAAAATAATTATTGTTTATCATCGCATCACCACTCACCCACTCTGAATCCAGGCCCTGTGAGAGTATCCGCTGACTGTCCGTTCTCGCCTATCAGTGTGGTATTGTTGCCCTGCTCACAGGTGTCCTGGCACTGGCCTTTTAAACAAATCCTCTTGCAGATGAGAGGGGCGATGACCACTTTGAAGCGCTCACGGGTGGATGCGCGCTCTGCGCACCAGGCCAGCCTCTGGACACCCAGCCAGATGACGAGCAGATGGGAAATGATCAGAGAAGGCATCCTGGCATCCTTCACCGCCGTGCGCAAAGAGAAGGGGGCATTCACGGTGGCAAAATGTAATGCTGTTAAAGACTGTTCAGCTCGTAACAAAACACCAAGGGACTCGGTATTCCTTTCAATCGAACCTTGAAAACAACCGACTAACTTCCCGAGGTATTCCAAAATGTTGATTATAAAGGTGCCTCATACAACGAAAAAAAGTGCTGAGAAAACTTCAGTGGTGTACTTCTTCCCTCCTGCCCTTTAAAAACAGTACATTTCAGTCTCCTCGCATATAAAAATTATTCATTTGGAACAGTAAAATGTTTGGCATTTTTATTTTAACTAAAATACAGGATCCAAAAGTTACCGAGATAACTTTTCCATTTTCCTACCCGCTTTCTCGCTCTCCTTTCTCCCTGCTGTTGCTTGGATGGTTGGTGTGTGCGTATCTGGGTTTGGGAAAGAAGGGAGGGAGGAGAGAGGGAGAGGGAGCCAAGCCAATCCTCTCCAGAAAGAGCTGGCAGTAGGCCAGGCAGCGCAGGAGCTAAGCTGAAAGTGGTTTCGTTGTTGGTTATTTCTCCTAACACCCACTAACCCCCCATCCATGGAACGATAACGGCACAGCTGTGCGTGTCGCTCTGGAAAACACCTCCAAATCAAGTGTGAATGCCAACAGTGCGAAACAGCTCTCCAGTCAGAGGAATGTAGAGTATCATACGGCTTACAGTTACAGTTGTGGGAGGAAAATAGGTGTCTGTTGACAAAACTCAATTTACAAAAAAACATTCATCATTAGCCATCATAATTTAAGCCTATCTCAAATCTAGATTATTCAATAAATGACCAATATTGGTATAGATGTGACACCATACAATGACTAGATGAGAAAGTAACAGTGCCAAATCTAGCTATCCAATCAAAGTCTATTGCTTTTCACTGTATTTAGTAGTGAAATATAAAGAAAGTATGACCTAACAATAGAGCATTACCACATACCCCCCTTCACTTACAGACCACACACCAATATGATTAGCTGACCTTCACAATCAGTCAAAGGTGTACAGTTGGGGTCATCCGGTGGTTTCTTGTGATGGGCCAGGCGGAGAAAGGGAGAGTTGGGGAGAGGGTTGAGTCACTTCCTCTACAAAAAGTGAGAATATTTGCTTTCAGTCGCTAAGGAAATGACTGCATGGGCCTGGAGAGTTCACAGGCTGCACTTACATTTCTCTGCCTCTGCTTCTGTCCAGCACAGCGACATCCACTGCCAAGAAAGACACTTGCACAAAACACACTCTTATGCAAACTCACAATCGAATCAAACAAACACTCACAGAAGCGTACAAAAATAGAACCCAGTCGAGCTGTAACACACCTACTCAAGCACATTCACTCACACCCCAAACACTCAAACTAGATGCACACACAGCTGTTGTCCACTGCCTCCCTCCCAAACTAAACTAATACCCAACTCAGAGCCCAGTCCTGCTTTTTACATTAGAACAGGAGAGAGGTACTCACAGACTAGACTGATGGGAAATGGAGAGTAAGGAATACAATAACACAATCAGGGTACAGCCACCTGCACATAGTGCGGACAGAAGAAGACTATCAAAGGTCTGATTACTGACTGCCACGAATTTCAAGAATGAGGGAGTCACAGCTATAGAAAGGAGGGGGGGGGGGGGGGGGGGGGGGGGGGGGTATACATCAATGCCTAATTTCTTTAGTCCCATGGAGGCCAAAGGAATTCCACTTTTTATAAATTGCCCCCTTTGTAAACGCAATGGTTATTACTTACAGACCAAGTAGTAAGTCTACTGTGACTGTCATTACAACAACCCATATTCCTCTTCCATATCAAGACAATCCTCGCGTGAGATAGCAGTGAATGCCAGAACACCACCAGACTGGGTCAGTGGTACCAGTGGGACAGACAGTAAGACCACAGGGCTGTGGCAGGGTGGAGGCTGTGGGCTTACAGACATCACTGAGGCATTTCAGTGGGACTGGATAAACAAGGAGGGACTGCTGTGCGTAAGTCCGAGGTGGGATGGAAGTGTTTGGCTGTGGTTGGCAGGGTTTTTCTATTTATCTAACCTTTGTATGCTACTGGTTTTCCATGGGCCTGATTATGTTAAATATGGTGCTTCTCCAGTCATATCCTGTGACCCAGTCTACTAGCATGTCATCAACGTTTATGACGAGGATCCTGTGGAAAAAGCAGGGAGTGTGTGGCTGTTTTCTGTGTGCATGAGACTGTCATTATAATCAATCCATAGGGGAGGGGGGGGTTGTGTGTTTGTCATTGTTTGTGAGTAGTCTGTGGGTGAGGGTGTGTCAGCCAGGCCATATCCGTCAGGGAGGGGAGCAGGGTCACCACTTTGGTTGCATGTGTGGAAACCGAGAGTGGATCAGAAATACAGGGCTGCCCGCCACCACAACACCAGTCTGACCACACCAGAGAGACCACAGGACGCTGTGTTCAACTCTGCCTCTGTTAACCAGGAACATCTTACATTTAATGTGCCTGAGCTCCACTGTTGACTTGAAATTGTAACACCACTAGTCCTCATCAACATTGTGGAAAATATATATTGCAAGCTCAAGCCCTCATAGCAAGATCAATACATATTATCTTATTGATTACATACAATAACAATGACTAAGAGGCCACAATATCAACAAAGGCCCTTTAATAGGTAACATTAAGACAAAGTAACTGGATGCATCAGATGGGTGAAAAATACATTTTAAACAGGAGGACAAGTCATAACAAAGTCATGTTCTTGAACATTTCATACCAAAGACTTAGCAGGAAGAAAAATATAACAATTTGTTCAATATTGGCGTGCAAAAATAACCACTGAATGCGGTACATGACCCTGTTACCTTGGGTCCAGAGAACCCACTACGTATGCTGGATGTAACTCCAGCTGTGCATTTTAAAGCATATTTTCAATATTGTCAACAGTAATGTACATTTTCCATAATTGCAGATGGACCAAGTCTGGTTCACAAGGATCATACGCTGGGAAAGAGATTGACAGCTTTAAAAGGCTGAAATTTGAAGTGTACTCTGCTATGCTCTGATCCGACAGACACTCCTTCAGATAGAGATGGTTCCCCTTTTCTGTCTGAATGGGACAATCAATACCAGGAAGAATTGCAAGTGATTACATATTTACATTACATAGTGGCATTAATAGTTAAAGGTACATTCAGCAATATGACATGACTATTAGTAACAACTTCTGACAAAAACAAAGAGAGTAGGAAGCAAGAGGCTAATGTGCGCAGCATTACCACACAGCTATCACGTTGCATGAAAGAGGGATTTCCCGGCTGGTACATATATGCAGCTGTTTATCAGTATCTGTGTGGGGTAGGTGCTAGTAAGGCCTTGCACTCTCTCTGAAGTTGCAGTTGTTTATGGTAATGTCACAATGCTGAATCTCTGTTTAATGTCACCATGGCGGTGGCAATAATAGTAGCAAATTAACTGTTGTTAAATTTCCATTAAATGGTCTTTGGACATGGTTGCATAAAACTCCATTCAATCTCAAAATACATATGACGAGCACCTTACAGGATTTGTATTTCCAGCGGACACATGGCTGTTATACACTAGAGCTGTGTTTGAAAACCCATACTAACATACTGTATACTACATACTTAATGAGTATATACTACATACTATTAGTTCATTTTAGTATACTGTAAACGAACGGTATCCTTTCAGTTGAGTGTACTAGCGCTTCGCCTGTCTACTGGAAGTTGATGCTTTTGTTACGCAAGTTCCTGCTATCTTGTTAGCAGCCAACTAACGTTAGGTAGCTAGCTAGATAACATACCAGTACATACAAGCAACTGTGTAATGATACGCTATGCAGTTCGTAATTTGAAAAGTAATTACTTTATTACATTGGTCAACATTTTCTTAACATTTGTCATAATTAGTTAAAGCAATGAATTTGTTTCCGCTCTCGTCGGACTTCAGCTGCCTATTTTCCTACATTTTCTTCAAATCTGAAAATGTTGTGAAGCTACATCCATTTCCTGAAGAATTGCATTATGGGCCCTAAAAGCACGGAAATAGTGTCCACAGCTTGTATACTTCGTATTTTGGCAAATGTAGTACAACATTCGGGAACTTTTGGCATTCTTACTATATCCATACTATGACCAATAAGCATACTACATACTCAATTTACGTCACAAATATGTTTAGTATGAGTATTCAAACACAGTTTAGGTAGGTTGTTGGAGTTGTATAGGAGGGTCATTAGCAATGAGAGAAGGGGGGAACATGATACATAGGTACATTTCATATTATATAAACTACTTTCACATTTCTAAGATTATAAAGCACTAAAGGATAGATATGTCAAAGGGTCAGACAGGCACATGAAGTGTCTCTGAAATTAATAGGCTACCCTGGTCACTGGACAACACTAAGGGTGTAGATAGATAGCCTGTTTCTCAGGGAAGGAATGGAGACTTCCTCACACAGTACAGTAATGGAATAGGAAGACTCTTTAAACGTCATGTTCTAATGCTGTAGGCAGTAGACAGAAGGATGACACCACCCTACACACAGTCCACATCGTCCCCTTCGGCTCCCCACTCATCAAACCTCATCTGAGGGGAGGGGGCAGCAGGGTGGAGGCTGTTGATGTTGTTCAGGGCGTCTGGGTCCGGGTCGTCGCCCATGCCTGCCTCCATGTGAACAGACTCTTCACGGTGAGTGCGGACATGCTTGCGCAATGCCGCCGGCTCCTTGAAAGTGCGGTTGCAGAAGGGGCAGCTGCAGGGTTTCTCTCCGGTGTGGATGCGCTGGTGGTGCTTCAGGTGCTGCAGTCGGCTCAGACGCTTGCCACAGATGGCACACACATAGGGCTTGTCACCAGTGTGGGTGCGCTGGTGCTTGCGCAGGCCGTCTAGGTGGCGGAAGATTTTAGGGCAATCAGAGCAGGAATAGGGCTTCTCGCCGGTGTGAATGCGAAGGTGGGTTTTCAGGGCCCCCGACTCACGGAAGCGGCGGCCACACACCCCACATGGGTAGGGCTTCTCTCCTGTGTGGATACGGATGTGCTTCTTCAGGCTGGAAATGAGGCGGAAGGTCTTCCCGCACTCCAGACAATGGTGGGGGCGATCTGTGTCTGGGTCTCCTGGAGAGGTGGATGGTCCTGCTGTCTCTCCTGCCCTACCTGGGGACATGTCACTTCCTACTGCTCCAGGGGACCTCAACACCGCTTTCTGTCCTGCCAGTCCCCCCTGAGCCGGACCAAAGGTAGCAGCACGTGGCCGCGTGGGTTTTGGGTGGCGGAGAGAGTAGCTGCTGGAGCGCAATGACCCCTCCTGCTCCACAACATGGATGTATCCCAGATCACCCACATTCGAGGCAGTCTGCTCACCACCAGCACCCCCGGCGCTCCTCAGCCCTGGGCCTCTACTGCAGGCCTGCCCTGGACCTGAACTTGGACCTGGCCCCTGCTCTTCTTTGATCTCAAACCTTGGTCCTACTGCTTGGGTCCCCTGCTGCCGCCTCTCATCTGTTTAGTACAAAACAACAGAAAGGGATGTTAGAAGCACATAGACATTCCATGTTTCCATTAATTCTAAATGAATGGCATGGAGCTACAACAAATTTGTAATGATATTCTCTCTTTTTATATCTACATATACACATTGGATTGCCTTATGACAAATAGGAATAATTTACCTGGCCGGCTGGGGTCGGAGCAGATGTTAGGTGCGTTGGCAGCATAGGAGTCCATAGAATGGTTGGTCACAGAGCCATCTGATTGGATTGAGAGCTGACACATTTTATAGTCATCCCTGGAGTCATAACCATGCAGAGACTCACTGAGAGAGCCACCCATCTCTAGGTCGACCCCGGAAACACACCGGCCATCCGCACCGTTCACATTACGGTGGCTCTGGCGGTCCCTGTCCATAGAGCCAATAGATGTGAGAGACGGGGCGAAAACCGACTGACCCATGGTCTGTGCACCAGGGAAAGGAATTTGCAACTGGTCGATTAACTTTTGGGCGCTGCTAAGGCATTCCTGTAAAGTCCTCAATTCCACTTTGAGTCTTTCGTTCTCCTGCTCCTTGTTAACCAGCTCTTGTTGGGTCTCGTTTAGTACAAGTACTACTTCGCCCAAGAGGGTATCCACAGCAGCGGATAACGTGGTTTGAATGGTCGGGGCTAGACGTGTCTTCAGTGAGGATACAGTCATGTTGCCCTGGCATGCTTGGTGACCATACTCAGCCTTCCCTACTTTACGATCATAACAAGGCTCAGTCCCGGATCTGTTTGGGGCGTTGATTATACTTTGTTTACGATTAGCACCACCGGTTGTGCTATTGCTACTCAAATGAGAATCCATGCCGCTATTACAATTTCCTCGCCTGCATGTCATAGCTAGGTAGTTACTACGGTGACCAGCTAGCGCCGCCTGAGAAGAACGCAACTTCAGAAGCTAGCAAATTCGTTCGAACTAGCTATTAGCTAGTTAGTCTAACGTGAAAGAGAAGTAGCTAGCCTTAAGCAGTCCTACCTACCTGTCATTATCATAGTGATCCCAATGCGTCAACTTAGTTATTGACAAGTTCGCTAGCTAGCTCACTAACGTTAGTTAAGCCCGAAAAAAATAACTAGCTGGCTAGCTACGTTAGCACTGCAGGCAAGCTAACGTTAGTTGACTCCGTGCTGCTAGCTAGAAAGCCAAATATACTGACGATGATGAATGAAAATGTTCAGCCATATTCAGTAACATAAGTTTGTTATTACTATAACGCCATATTAATAGCGTGTCTGGAGTAAACTTGCACGGTTATATAAAATATAGATATGCCACTCGCAATGCCTACATCGGCTCGACGTCCATCTTCTAGGTAGCGTAGGGGCGTTTCACCGTCGCACATGAATGACGTGTCCTCTGGTAGATCTTCTTCTTATTATTTTTCTTCAATGAGGTTTAACGGCGGTTGGCATCCAATTTGTTGCATTAACGCCACCTACTATACTGGAGTACAACTCCCTTATCTTTCCTTGAAAAATAAAATAAAACAAAGCAAAGAAATATCCTACCATCTAACACTACACTCACAACTTCAAAACTAATAATAATAATTAACCCCCCCCTTCTCCACTATTTAAATATACTCACTCCTACCTCATGCCCTCAACCTGAAATGATGGGACATCACCACTTAACACTCCCTGTAACTCTTCTGCTGTCAGGTCTCACACACCCAAATATCTCTCTGCAGCTGCCACCACAATCTCAATTTTCTTCGATTTGCGTTCCATCCCTGCAGTACAATTAATAACCATTGCTATAAACGCTAAAAACCCAATCTTACAGAAACATATATCACTTGCTTGCCTATCCCACTGTACTGGTATATATCTCCTACTCTCACCACCCCCCCGCATATGCCTCCGCATATGACAACTTATTCTCTACTCTTACCCTGGAAACCTCAATCTGCTTCTCTCGCACTGGACATGTCTGATCCCCAGCCCCATGGCCACCCCTACAATTAGCACATACCACTACTTTCCCCACTGCTTCACACTCCTTAGTCTCATGCCCTTCTGCACACTTCTCACACCTTGGAATCTCCCTCCTACATACTGCTGCCACATGCCCATAAGTTTGACACCTGTAACATCGTAACGTACTCGGCACATACGCTCGCACAGGATAACTTATATATCCTAACTTCACTTTATCCGGCAAAGACTCAACTTCAAAACTCAAAAGAACAGACAATGACTCTTCTGTTTCCCCACTCTCGCCACCCTGTTTTTATGTCGCACCAAACAACAAGCATCACACACACCGGGAATCTTCTCCTTTAGTTGATCCACTTTTACATTTACTGCTACCCCAGTAATCACTCCTCTCAATGGCGCCCTTTTCTTAAGAGCGAAACAATTCACAATTCTTTCCACCATTTGTTTAACTCTAAGCGCCTTCTCCCTCTGCCCAACAGAAACAAAAACAATTATCACTAGACCACTTCTGGTTACCCTCACCGATTCCACTATACCCAACGCTTTTTTCACCGTCTTGAAACCACAAATGGATCAGCTAAAAGGCAAGGATCCACTTTTTCCACAAACTTCACTCCTACTGTCACAGACTCATCTCTATCCTGACCCTCTGCGCAAGCCTCTGGCTCCGAGCACTTCACCACACCTACAACCTTCGATACTTCACCCTCTTCCATTTCTACTCCTGTCTTCAGCTCACTTTGCTTACATTTCCTACCACTCTTCTTTAACGAACCTTCTCCCTTCGCCATTTTTTCCTGACTCAAACTCACAGTCTTCCTCCCTCTCTCTCTTAGACCTCCTCTGCCTCTCTTTTTCCATCCATTCCTCCTCATTCATCCAAGTATACGTCTCCTTATGATAATACTGCATTTCTCCTAACCAATATCAATTTCTTGCCTTCTCAAAGGACTCAATTTTTCCCCTCCTTTCCCTTCCGGCGTCTATTCTATACTCGACCTCACAGTCCACAATGACCTCTTCATTGCTCCCTCCGGCGTCTATTCTATCCTCTGGACTTGTGTCAACATCTTGGCATTCGTCTTCTATCTGAAAATATTTGGTCCGCCACATAGTTCCCAATCCGACCCTCCTGCTCCGGCTTCTTCTTCTTCTTCTTCTTCTTCTGTGGGTTTTATGGCGGACTTCATCCAAAAGTTGTATTGCCGCCACCAACTGGACGATTTGAAACCAAAAAATTAATAAATAAAAATAAATCCATAATTAATAGTGATTCTAACAATCCACCCTAATACAAAATAGTACATTGCCAAAACAAAGAAAACTCCCACTTCTTCCTTATTTTAGTTCTCCATATCTCCCTTCTCAGGCTCTAGGTCCTGAGAAGGTGGTACGGCTTTTGCTAATATTCCATGTAACTCCTTTGCTGTGAAATCCTTCAGCCCCAGGAACCGCTCTGCCAAAATCACTATGATTTCAATCTTCCTAGATCTTTTCTCCACCTTGGCAGTGCCATTTATCACCATTGCGATAAAGGCCACAAAGTCCACCTTTTTAACCTTTCAGGATCCTCTTGGTGTAAGACAATCCCTGCAGCCTGCAGTGAAGGCCTATCCACTACCATGGACTCTTCTGGTGCAACATTCAAACCCTCAACCCTTTTCACAGCTTCTGCATATGAAATGCTCTGTACAACCCTGACTTTGGCCACCTCATTCTACTTTACCCTTGTGGGGCATTCAGAAGACGTGGCTTCATGATTCCCACCGCAATTACATGTCACATTTTCTTCACTTTTACAACACATAATATGATATTTTCCACATCTTGTACATCTCGGCTTCTCCCATCTGCAAACACTTTCTACATGACCAAAATCTTTACAATGTTCACACTGCATTGTTCTTGGGATAAATGCTCTAACTCTGTAGTTAATATACCCTAACCGCACTTCATTAGGGAGAGACTCAATTTAAAAAAACAAAAGAACAGATAAACGCTTCACTTTTTCCTCGTTCACCACTCGATTCATCCGACGTGCTTCAATCACTCCAGGAATATTTTTCATCTCTTCCAAATCAACTTCCCACGAAACGCCAGAGGGGTTTGTATCATTTGTATCATTTGATTTACACAACATGCCTACCAATTTGATGATGCAAAATATTTTTTATTGTGAAACAAACAAGAAATAAGACAAAAAAACAGAAAACTTCAGCATACAAAACTGTTCACACCCCCCAAAGTCAATACTTTGTAGAGCCACCTTTTGCAGGAATTACAGCTGCAAGTCTCTTGGGGTATGTCTCTATAAGCTTGGCACATCTAGCCACTGGGATGGTGTTCTCAGGGTGATGAGAGGTGTTGAGTTTGCGCCAGACATAGCGTTTTCCTTGATGGCCAAAAAGCTCAATTTAGTCTCATCTGACCAGAGTACCTTCTTCCATATGTTTGGGGAGTCACCCACATGGCTTTTGGCGAACACCAAACGTGTTTGCTTATTTTTTTCTTTAAGCAATGGCTTTTTTCTGGCCACTCTTCCATAAAGCCCAGCTCTGTGGAGTGAACGGCTTAAAGTCATGTGACACTTAGATTGCACACAGGTGGACTTTATTTAACTAATTATGTGACTTCTGAAGGTAATTGGTTGAACCAGATCTTATTTAGGGGATTTTTTTTTTTGTCGGTCATAGTTGACGTGTACCTATGATGAAAATTACAGGCCTCTCTCATCTTTTTAAGTGGGAGAACTTGCACAATTGGTGGCTGACTAAATACTTTTTTCCCCCACTGTACGTTCAGTAATCTTGCTCTGATTTGTCATCCTAAGGGTCCCAGACAGAAAATGTAGCGTAGTTTTGTTTGATAAAATCAATTTTTATAATCAAATGTAGGAACAGGGTTCTACAGTTTGAACCCCTGCTGTCTCTGGCTCCACACCCACCCCGCCCGGCCATCTAGATGTGTGAAAGTTAGTGTATAAGCTAATGATCCATCATGTATGCCATTCCTGGGAGTGTGTAAACCTGCATTTAGTATTACCATATCATTTTTGTATGTTCTCTATAGTTATGTACTTGAAAATGTATCCAGTGAAGCAGACTTGTTACAAAATAGTCCAGTATCGCAATGCTTCACTGGATCAATCTGAAACTTTGCACACACACTGTTGCCATCTAGTGGCCTAAATCTAAATTGCGCCAAAAACTGTAGTATTATATTGTGGCCTTTCTCTTGCACGTTTAAAAACGCATGTTTTTTTTGTTTGTATTATCTTTTACCAGATCTAATGTGTTATATTCTCCTACATTAATTTCACATTTCCACAAACTTCAAAGTGTTTCCTTTCAAATGGTATCAAGAATATGCATTTCCTTGCTTTAGGTCCTGAGCTACAGGCAGTTAGATTTGGGCGAAAATGGAAAAAAAGGGTCAGATCCTTAAGAGGTTAAACGGTAAATTGGCATGCTGACTGCAGGAATGTCCACCAGAGCTGTTGCCAGAGCATTTCATGTTCATTTCTCTACCATAAGTTGCCTCCAACGAGAGTATGCGAGCGGACCTGGAGTGGAGCGTACCCAATTTGACTGGAGCACAGAGCGAGATTCCCAAAGGCTGGAGCGTCGGCCTTCTCGCCCGCTCCAATTTAGCTCCAGTAGTGCTCACTTCACTAACTCAGGGCATGCCCGGCCCAGCATACATTTGTAGTCTACTTTTGTGCTGTTATAGCCCCTTGCTTTAGCTACTGTCATGGAGTTCGCTAAATATTTTCATAAAGAAACTTGATAGAACACACAGGTGCTAAATCAAGGTGACTTAAAAAGATGAGGACCAAGAGCAAGAGCGGGAGTGCGGGGTGATGTAGTGTCCACAACTAAAGAATCATTGTGGAATCTAAAATTACACATATCCCGAAAGCATGACGGTGTACTT